CTTACTAAGCTTAAAGTAAACTAGGCTAAGTAGTATATTAATATGCCTCTTTAGCTATCTAGAGTATTATATAGTAATATCTATAGTTAGATCTCGCATAAAGCCCTATAGAAGGTTAAGGCTTAATAAAAACGACTATTAAATAAACTTCCTATATATATAGGGGCCTTATCTAGGACCATCGGTCTACTTTATACTTATACTCTCTAGGCTTTACTAATATAAGGTTAGCCCCTTTAATTATATTATTTCTATTTATATTAATATCTTTAATACTTAGGAACCTCCTAGCTTATTATTAAGCCTTATAAGCAGTTTAATTATCTAGTAGCTTATTTAATACTATTACTAATAAGTATATAATATAAGCCTTATATATTTAAGACTATTAAGAAAGTAATATAAGCAAAGGTATTACTAAAGTATTTAAGATATAATATATAAGGCTATACTAGGAAGTCTAAAGTATACCTCTTATATTATAAAGAGCTATTATAGGCTCTTACCTAAACCTCTATAACAATATATATAATAATATATATTTCTACTCGCTCTATAACTTACTTATTATCCCTATTATCCCTATTAGGAGACTTTATAATATCTAAGACTATAATATATATAATAATATATATAATAATATATATAATAACTTATATACTATCTCTGCTAGTAACTAGGCTAGTAACTATTATTATAATAGTGCCCGCATTATAACTTAATAACCCCTATGCTATCTACTAATAATATAAAAAAGCATAAAAGGCCTAATATACTATATTAGATTAAGGAGCTATTAAGACTAATTAATAATATAGGAAGGCTAATAGGCTACCTATATGCTACTCTAAAATAGAGTATAATTAATGCCTTAACTATAAGCGAATAAGGCCTTATTGCAAGGTAAGAAATAGCTTTAGAGACTAGATTATAGAGGAGAAGATAAGTTATCTTAATTAGGATAGGGCTAAGAACGAGCGGGTTAAATAGAATATAGGGATAGAAATAGCAAGGTAGCCTTTCTTAGGGCGACGAGGTATGCGGGATATCTAGGATGCTGCGGAAAGAGATCTCGAATTATAGTAGGAATAGTACGGAGGTGGGAACCCCGCCCCTAACTGATATTTATAAGAGTAATAGGAAATCACGACCCCTATATATCACTAGAAAGAGAAAGAAATAGTAAATCTCTAAGAATAGTTATAGTAACCTAAAGGCTTAATTTAACAATATTATAGCTGAGTTTATATAGAGGGTTAAGCAGGCTTAGTAGTCACTTATATAGTAACTATAGGAATAGCAAAAATAACATAATATTACATTTATTAGCCTATTCTACTATATTACTGCGTTAGATACTGTTTCTATAGATGCATACACATAATGCCTCGTATATAACGGATAATAGTTATACTACCGGTAGTGCATGAGTCACGTGAGGATATTTATACTATCGATGGTATATATATTAAGACCTATTTAGCCCCCCCCCCCCGGCACAGTTATAATTCCGAGTTCTAAGGCAGTTTTTAAAACCCTATAATCTGGAATAGCGATAAATTCTTAATTATTTACCTAAATAAAAGGCCTATTAAGCCTTACTATCTACTACTACTGCCTCCTAAATCTCGTATATACCTCTTTTACTAGGAAAAGGGTTATTTTCTATCTCCGTAGCTACCTAAGCCTTAACCTAATTATTTTCTACCTTACTCTAATCTAGGTATACTATTATCTCCTCCTTAGTCTAATCTCTAGATCTAGTTCGCGTCGTATAGTATTTGCCTATTTACTTCTAGTTAAGATACTATTAGTAGCTTACTTTGCTATACTATAAAGGTAAACCTAGCGCTCTTTAATATTACTAATTAGTTTTAATACTACTATAAGGCTATGCCTTATACTAAGTATCTTAAGCAGTAATATATCTCCGATAGATAGCCTGCGGGTTATTATATGTCAGTATCGGCATTGCTAATGCTATTAGCAATAATACTGCCGGCGCTGTCCCTACCTGTGTCGATGATACTGCCGGCTCGATACTAATAATAAGGCAGCTAGTACCATACCTGCCTGGCCCTGCCTGCCCGGATGATCTTAACGACGGTGCTCCTAGCGCTTCCCCTGCCTATAATAATAATGCTAATAAAGATACCGCCGGCGCTAGCTATGACTGCCCTAATAATACTACTAGCATTGCCCTTACCTGCGCCGATAATACTAATAACTATAAAAGCTCCTTATATTATTAAGGGTATGCCTTTAAAGTTATTTTATAACCTACTTAGTAGTATCTATTATATTTAAGTTATACCTTTAGCTATATTAATGCCTAAACTACCTCGAATATACTTAGCTCTCTCTAAGTACTTAATTATAATCTACTAGTAATTAAATTAATAACTATTTAATTAGATTAATACTAAGGCTCTAATAATAATTAATAAATACTATAGTAATTAAGGTATTAATATATATAAAAATACTCTAAGTAAAGGGCTTAACCTTATTCTTATAGAGCCTTAAGAATATAGGCGCAAGGGAGGCTATAAGATTAAAAGAATATATTAATATAACTAAGTAGGTTTTCTTTTAAAAGTAGTTTCTACTATTCTTTAACTTTATATAAAGCTTTATAAAATACCTAGCTATATATAGTATTATATAATAATCTAAAGAGCTTAATTAATATTCTTATTTATTAGCTTACTTATTTAGATTATAATTTAGCTAATTAATTAAGAAGTATATACTTTATAGCCCTTTAAGCCTTAAAGAACTTTAATATAAATTTCTTAAGGTAGCTCTTAAGGAGCCTATAAATACCTTTAACCCGCGAGGTAATTATATTACTAAAATAAAGATATTAATTAACCTAAGCCTTTATTAGCTTTTTTTTCTATAGATTAAGCTAATTAGTCTTAATATAGCTAACCTCTTTAAGGTATTATAATAAATAATACCTTTTAAGCTCTTATATATACTAAGTAAAAGCTTCTTTATTTAGTAACTTTATAATTAAGTACTAATAATTAAAAAACTTACTTTAATTACTTAGGCCTTATTAATAAGCTTTTAATCCTTATTAATAGTATATAAATATTAATTAATAATAATAAAGGATTACTTTATTTATATACTATAGGTATAAGAGAGAAATTAAAAATACAAAATAAATCTCTATAGTATTTATATAAGCCTTATTATAATCTATTAAGATAATAAATAAAAGCCTTATATTATAAAGTTTATATAGGGACCTAAGTTAATCTAAGGCCTATAAGTAATCCTACTTAGTCTTACTATTAATAAATATAAAGGTAATATAAAATAATCGCTAATAGGTATTAATACTAATTATATTAAGTAATAATATCTTATATTTATTTATCTTATATATATAATTAAGAAAAAATAAGTCTAGATAAGCCTAGAAGTATATTAATAACTCTAAGTAAATAAATAATATAGCTATAACTTAGTTATTTAAATTAAGCTATATTTAGCTCTAAAACCCTTCCTTATCTAGCTAATTAGTAAAGATATATATAATACTTTATCCTTTATATAGCTCTTATTTACTATTTATAATAAATTATAAATATCTTACTAAGTTATAATAATATTTAAGTTCTAATAAATATAAGTCTTAGTATCTTTTAGTATTACCCCGGTATTTTTAAGGTAATTAATTATTAACTTATTTATATTAAAGAGCGATTAATAAATTAAATAAGTTAATTTATATTAGCTTAGCTTATAGTTATATAAGGAAAATTAACTATTTAAATAATACCTTAAAGACTAAGTCGCCTTATCTAGGGATTCCTTTATAATAATTAAGAACTAATAATTAATTCTTTATATAATAGTCTTATATTAGTAATCTTTTAAGGCGCTAAGTAAATAATACTATTAATTATATATATATATATAATAACTTACTTATTATTAATTAATCGCAAAGATCTCTTAGTTATAAATATATATCCTCTAGGTATTACTTATTTATTAATAGCTATAAGTAAAGCCTCTTATTAATTATATATACCCTCTAGTAGGAATATATTATTAGGAAATATTACTTAGGCCATAGCGGAAGCCTACTCTTTGAGATTATAGTTATATTTAGTAGTAATAGTAATAAATAAAACTCCTAAAAATTCTAACTATAGGGTTTAGCTAAATTAAGGGCTAATATAATCTATATACCTATGCGTATATAAGTAAAAGCGCGCCTAGGCGTGTCCCTATAGGGCCCCTTTTATTAAGCTTTAATCTAATAATTATTTTAAACTATAATAACTTATGCTATAAGGTGGTGAAAAATATAGGACTAGGTTCCTTTGCTTGAGTTTTTCTCGCTTTATTATATATGTTATTTTTGGGAAGTTTAAATAACTTTTATCCTCTAAACTACCACGTAAACCCTAACCCCTATATTCTTATATAACATTTCGCCTATATCTAATAGTAAGATAAATAAATAGATAACCCATAAGGCACCCTAGTAGATAGGTAGATATAGATCTATATCTATCTATATCTATATTTTATCTATATTAATAAATAGATTCCCTACCCTTATTATAACGGGGGCATAGTATACTAAGCGTAGGATTTTATATTATATCTAATAATATTAAGAAGTATTCTTAAGTAATAAAATTGTATTAAAAGCTAGAGAGCTATCTCGAAATAGGAAATATACTTCGTGTTTTCGTGAGTCGAATAGTCCTCGTTCGACTTGCATATTGCGAATAATATTATTGGTTGGCACGGAATGTGGTTGCTTCTAATAGGACGGAATTGTGAGCCTGTCATTCTGCCATATCCCACCGCCTGGCCCCTAGATACGGTGGTGGCGAGGGTCGTAACACTCGTCTCTTGGAGCAGCCCGAACATACCACAAATACCCACAACTATCGATAGTAAGAGCATTTCGCAAACTCAGCGCCGTCGCGCTCTATTTAAAGATAGGCTTTGGTCGATGCTGTTTGTTGCTCGTTCACCCACGCTATCCTTACGCCTATCGACATGTAAGCTCGTTATTCTCCCCGCCAACTTACTCGCTGTCCTCATCGCCACCCGAGGACGACGCGCCGCTTCCACCCTGCCGACTCCCGAGCGAACCCCCGCGAGTTTTCAACCCTTGCCATGGTGATTAAACGACTCTAGCGTCAGGGACTCGCGCTCTTCAATCACCATGTCCAATCCCCCTTCGTCCAACGCAGCCGTCCTTAGCGTGCCCTCCACCGACGATGACTCTGGTGAGCAATCCTGCCTTCGCCGGCACTGCCCCTCATGTCCTTAGCCACCCGCCTGGCCTGCTGATTCTCCATTCCAGCGTCCATGATCATTGCTGACACTAAGGTGTCAGCTAATTTCCCTCCTCCCAAGACGGATAAGCCTCGCCCGCACGTTTGCGGCACCTGCCAGCGGTCTTTCGCCCGATTGGAACATCTCGAGCGACACGAGCGCTCCCACACCAAGGAGAAACCCTTCGAGTGTCCGGAATGCAATCGACGCTTCGCCCGTCGCGATATGCTGCTGCGTCACCAACAGAAGCTTCACCAGACGTCGACTCCGTCGTCCCGTCCCCGCAATCGTCGCGAGTCCGCCGGCGGCATCCCCTCTGGCCAGCAAGGCGACCATGTGATTTGCCAGTATCCCACATATGGCCAGCTATACCCTGTACCACAGTTTAACGGTGTGGATGTTGGCTCGTGGAAGATGGATGAGGAGAATAAATGGCTACCCAGCATTGATGAGACCTAAGACCAAGGCGATTATACTCAAGTAAGTGTTGAAACACGGCGGCTTATCTCACCGTGGCAAGCTAATAGTATCTAGTACCCCAAAAAACCCGACTGGTGCCGTTTTGAAGAAAGACTTTCTTTCCAAGGTGATCAAAGTTGCCAGTAGCCGCAGCATCTTTGTTTTCAGTGACGAGGTTTTCAATCCCCTGGTCTTCAACAGTCCCAAGCCACCCTCACTGGTGACTCTCGGCTACGAGCACAGCGTTGCTACTGGCTCACTATCTAAAGCCTTTGCTATTCCTGGCATACGATAGTGTCGCCTCGTTCGCCCTGAACCCGACTGTGATGCCCAAGGTGATGGAACGCAATCTTTCTCTATGCCGAGAGAGCGTCCTGCTTCTGGAAGACTTTGTCAATCGAAACAAGACGCGGGTTCGCTGGGTTAAGCCACAAGGTTCGGGAATGGCATTCATCAGGATGCTCAACTCTGATGGTGAGCCAGTCGATGACGCAGAGTTCTGCATGAAGTTGAAGGAGGAAGAGGGTATTTGCTTGGTTCCAGGAGGACACTGTTTTGGCGAAGGCGATGCAGGTGACTTTAAAGGATATGTACGGATCACGCTGGGAAATCCAACTTTATTGCGGGAGGTCCTACCCTTGTTGGGGAATTTCACACAGAAACAACGAGTTGTACGAACAGGCGACAAGCCTGTATCCGATGGATTACCCCTAGAGACCCTTTGCCTTTCATCAAACATGACCCATCCATCTTGACACAGCTTTGTGAAACTTTGACCGTAATTTCCTTGAACTCGATACAATTTCCCCTTGACACTCGAAAAAATTTAACCCAAGTACGTAACCAGTCACATCGATTTACATCTCACCTTCATCGCGTGGGGGGTAGCCCACTTGCATGGTCAGCATATCTTCTCCACCATCTGTGTTCCTCTCAACCAGCCCCTCCTCAGGGTTCGGGCAGTCTGGTACAATGGTGCACAGAAAGTTCATTGATCTTGTTCCTCCACTGTGCTTTGATTCCTAATCAGCAACCACGGAAGTTGAAATCCATGTCCAGTCAGAGAGGCGAACCTGACCCGAACCCTCTGACCGTTCCATGCCATGGTAGATTCCGAAGATCGAACCTCTGCCTGTTAAATCGGACTTCTTGATGCGATCAAAGTCCAGTGTTGACTTTGTCCAATGAGGGATTCCGAATTCCTGATCGATATTCACCCGTGTTGACAGGTCAACAAACATGGGACCATTTAGGCCATCAAACTGCTGGGTGAGTTGGAAGATATAGGCGTGTAGTAGATGCTTCTGTAGCTCAAGGACTTCCACAGGACGCAGTTCTTGGACCTCTCTAAAACTTCTGACTGGTAGCATGGGGATCTCTTGTTCCATGATGAGGTTGCATAGTGTCGTTATGGTCTTGTTGATCTGCTGGCATGTGACGAGATTAAAGGAAACCCCGCTGTCGACAAGCGTTAACATGCCATCTTCTGCCTCTCGCAAAGTTCGGGGCGTCGAAAAGTCATCGTATGCCGTGGCGAGTCCTTTCCAGAGCCCAAGGGCTAACCACAAAGATCCTGTACGAGCAAGTGGTTTGCTCCAGCCTTGACAATGCGAGACGAGATCCTTTTCCAAAACGTCATCATGGAAAATGAACAGTCGTTTAATCCCTGCTGATAACAGAGCTGCGAGTTGCACCTTGACTTGACGGACAACGGCGCTCTCGGAAGGTAGCGCGACGAGGAGCGCGAGGCGATGGTCGAAGCCAAGGACCTGCAGGACCTGGTTAAAGATGACTGAGTGCTTGCCGACCAAGCCGACTGATGTCCCCTTATCACCAAGTATGCCCTGTATATGGAGATGACTCCATCTGTTGATGTGTGCTGACCTTTCAAGGTTCGATTCGAAGAAACAGGAGATGATACTTGGCCCGTCCAAGCCCCAGTGGGCAAAGCCCAGGACCACCCCAGCGACGAAACCACCAGCCTGCTCATTGCAAACTTTGAGACGACGATAATGACTTCCTGACGAGACGAACTCGTCCAGGCTGGAAGCCTCAGTGTAGATGGCGATGCTAGCAGGGACATTGCGAGTGCGGAAGGCCCAGGCCACTTGCTGTAAGCGTTCCTCCTGACAAACGGGTAGGTTGACGCGTGTGAGTTGACCTGTGACGGCGTCGTGAATGACTTGCTCTCGGTGGGAGCTGAGGAAAATGTGCAAGTTGTCGAACCCATCTAGAGGAAAGGGGGGCCGGGACGTGTGAGGGACGAAACGAATGACGCAGCCGTCCAGCCTTGCTGTGGCAGAGTTCCGGTAATCGTTGATGAGGCCAGAGAACCGGTCTTCCACATCCCCTTGACTCATCATTGTGAGATTTGTCACCAGAAAGACGCGGTCTTGCTCGTATACGTCTCGCTCTGCTATGCGGGAAATATGGCGGTCTTCGTCGAGATCGAAGTGTGGGAGATTGTGCCAAGAGATAACTGCCTGTCTCGTAAGGTCGCCTCGGGATTCTTTCTGAAGTTCCTGGACAAAATCCTTCTGGCTGGCTTGGATGATCTTCTGAACTTCTCTTCGCTTCGAGGCAACGCTGTCGGGGGGGTTAAGCGAGATGGGGTAGGGACTGTCCAAGCCGTAGGCATACAGTAGCTTCCGTAGAGCTCTTGGCGCATCCTCAGGAGAGATGGTCAGGACCCGGATCATGTATTGGGGCGACACATCGGCTGCCCAATGGACGGTTGCGATCAAACCTAAAGCACATTCTGCTGACATTTGGGGATCGATGACGAAGGCGACGCAAAGAGAGTCAGTAGGCGCCATATCCATATTCCAACACTTAAGCCCAGCGCCATCGGCTACTCGGTAGTCTTCAAGCGATTCCCGCCATCCGTAATAGCATAGGAACTCGAAAATAGGACCCTCGTCACCCTGATGATCATCTGCGAGTTGGGCATGAGCAAGATAGGCGGTGCCAGCATCCAAGGACGACCCGACACAGACGCCCCATTCCGCATCCCAGAGGCCGGCGATGATGACTTGCCAGACGTTCTTATCGGACATGCAGTGACGGGAGACCTTGAGGTGGGCAAAGCTGACGTTTCTGGGGCCAGGTGGGCTGTCGCTGCTTGCCCATTCGCGAATCCCTTCGAAGGCAATATTCGGAATGTCCATTCTTGATAGGGCGGGCGGCCCGCGACGGAGAAGATCGGGATCGACAGTAATGGAGGAAGGATCGGGGAGAGGAGATCGGAGTTGGCGTTGGGCTTTGAATCACACGTTTTGGGAGGAGTGGCGCGAACGCGACGATCGAGATCGGACCCGATCAAGGTCAGAGATGAAGGGTAAACAAACGCGAAGGCGGAAAACAAAGAAGCGAGGACTCACTCTCTGCGCTCAAAACCGAGTCGGTCAGATAACGTAGAGAAGAGCAGTGCTGGACAGTGCTGGGCAGTGCCAGATGCTTTCCTCCACCTCCCAATGACACAGTAAACAGTAGTAATTCAGGCGGGGATAAAACTATGAAGAGCAGAAAATCTCATCAGATGCTGGGACTCCGAGAAAAAGATGATTTGTAAAGGTGTATTCGTGTCTAGAAGGTGCCATTCAAACGAGAAATGGCAAAATTGCTGGTCATCACTTTCCCGGGCCATTGCTCTCACGATAACCATCAGAGTACAAGCAACCCATGGTCTCATGGCATGGGCAGTTACCCTCATAGAGCTCGCTCTGGGGATCTTTGGGGGCATTGAGCAGATGGATGTGTCAAGAGGCCTTTGGAGTTTGGTGGAAATGTAGCTACTGTAGATATGCTCTTCAGCGGTTTTCTCTTTGCATCTCTATGGCGCCCAAGACTGGAACCTCCAGAGCGTAGGAAGTGAGTATCGAAGAGGGTCTCCTACTGGTATAGCTGGCTAAGCACTGGGATTGTCGGTTGGGTCGATCTGTGGTAAGTCTGTGGTTGGTCAGCGGACAGCTAGGCAATGGACGTGGTTGATGGCTCCTTGGTTCTATTAAATGATCTTCCCAGCGCCGGTTTTCTGGCAAAGTTAATGTCATCAAGTTTCACTGTGGACTTTGATCGTTCAGCTTGTTCAATTCGGTAAGAAACGCTGTGCAACTTTGACCAGCAAATGGGGTGTGCGTGATATCATTTTCTTGTGGGAGGGAGCGGCCATGGTGAAGCCCGGCCCTTGACGGGTTAACTGAGCCAGAAGATCGAAGTAAGGATCGGGTCCAAGAATTGGGTTCAGCTTCGAGGATTTTGATCGAAAGTTCCAGTAGAGCTGGAATGAGTATAGCAGTCGAGATTGGAGTACGTTCAGACGAGCGTCAAAACGAAGGATAACAGAACGTGGAGGTCCGATGGGCAAAGAGCCTGGAAGTCAGCTATGAATTTAATGTTTCCTGTCGAGATGACCGAGAGTAGTTGCCTTTAACATTGACTTGTTGACAGAGAAAGACACGCGATTCTGCCAGGCGTAAAAAATTGTGTCAAGAGTCAAAGGTAGCTCTCGCTCACAGCTGTTTGACGCAGTCGTTTGACATTGCCGGACGTAGCGCTTACGGTTACACAGCGGACTATGAGTGACACAATACATTCACTTGCTCTTTGTTCTTACTCCGAATATGAGCAAACGAGGATAATCACAGCAGAAAGGATGTCTGGCAGCATGTGATTGACATGATCCAGGTTGGCAAGGCGAACCCGAGCCCCGACAGGTCAACACCAAGCAAGAGTGCATTTCAATTTTAGACTAAATTTCACGTGGCAATACCTTGGCTACTGCTTACAGGCATCAAATACCGAGCTGCATGACCGCGGCGGCACAGGCTGAGGTGAGCGTCAGGGGTTAAGCGGCTATGAGGCATGTTGTGAGATAAGACGATTTTGATTCCTGCCTTACTACTAATTTTCGTAATGTGTTAAGGTAGACTTTTCTTCTTTTTTCACCATCTCTACACACAGGCTCTAGCCTCAAATGTGTGCTTGATAATCGGTGCCTTGTTAAATTCGCCCTGTTGACTCTCCCTTGTACCGGTCCCCACACGCTTTCATGAACATGCCGCCGTATTCGCGGCCCAATAAGTTGGCTGCTGGTTTTTCCCTATCGGGATGGGACGCTTATCATACTTACCAAGTCAGACGAAAGGAGCTGACAGGCTTACCATCTGTTCCTTCATGACTCTTAAATAGCACGCATCCTGCGCTTCAAATAAGTGTGTTAAGCGAGTTCATTCTCTCTCTTCCTTGACCAAACCTACCTCTAGACATCTTCTCTACAATTGTTATCGAAACAGCTGGACTAACTACCGACATCATGGCTGCTCACGCAAAGACTGCACTTATACCATGGGACCCTTCGAATGAGGCACATTTCAAGCGCATGTACGACCAACGGGTCGCCTGCGGCTGGCGATATGAAGAGGTGGAGGAGTGGAGGAACAAGATGCTCAAGAGCCAGAAGTTTCTCTACTGGATCGTGCGTTCTTGTCCACTCTCATCTTGCGCTTCAGTTGAGCCAGTAGGCTGACACGCAGCAGATATTGGCCGATGATCTTGAGGGGAGAGAAGAGTTACTGGCAACACATATCAACCAGTACTCAGATGTGAGAACCGAGACACCAGCGATTCATGGGAAATCAAGACATCTGACAAGTCTCAGGAAGCTAAGGAGCTCTCAGATACAGCGGGTACAGTATTTAACACTCCTCGGGAACCAACAAATCGTCGTTTTCTTCCCGTAGGCCACATCGCACTCGAATTGCTTCCTCAACAAAACGAGCGATTTCAACTTCCACCCTCTACCATATGGATCATGTCGCTCTACATTTCATGGTACTAATCTTCAATGATCGACTCAGACAAGCCACTGACCATTGCAGGGCACTCCAGAGTGCTGGCCTCGGGCGTAGTGCCATGGCCGAAACCGAGAGACTCGCAAGGCTCCCTCCCTTCAACCGCGACGTCGTCGGCTTAGACACGGTTCAGAAGCATTTCCAGCTCGGCGATAACAATTTTAACAAAACTTATTACAGTTCTAGTGGCTTAGAGGTGCGTGCGATCGAAGAATGGTACATGCGTCAGGGATACGAGGTTGTTGAGAGGGTTGATCAAGGGTATAACTGGAAGGACCCTGCAACAGGAGATTTTCTTCCAGTGCCGCTTGTCTACATGGTCAAGAGATTTTTTTCAGAATAGTTTTGAGTAATTAATACATATGCTACTTATAGAAGGCTATTTTATCACCATCCTGGATGTACTAAAATCGTCATCCCCAAATACCTCTTCTCTTTCCCCTCTTCTTCGCCCAGATCAAATCCCCCCATCCCATAACTGTATATCCACTAGAATTTTGACCACCCTGCGAGTCATACTGCTCCTTTGCCTTGACCGTCCAGGGAGCCTTCTTGCCCTTTTCGACGACAAACTTGTAATAGATCAAGTCCCAGACGCCTGGCGAGCGACCCGTGATGCCTCGGTTACGCTCCGAAATGGTATCCCACGGTCCATCCACCAAAACAGCCAGGCACCTGGAGAATTTGGGGTCATAATCGACCGACTCGTTGAGGTTGTACTTGGCAAGATGCTCCGATGCCTTGAGGAAAACACCCCCCATCTCATCCCAGACGTTGACCCCCTGGTTTTCGAGGGTCTCTGCTGCCAGAGCGGCCCATCCTAGGCCTGACTGCGCGTGAGACTGATCCCGACCTGCTTCGGAGGACTGACCTGTTCTTCGATCAAAGTTTCCGGGAAGGCCTGCGCAAAGATCGTTCAGGTATGCATTCAGAGCATAGTTGAACATGTTGACGTCTTCGAGGTAGATAGAGAAGCTAAGAAGGGCTTTGATCGAGGCCATGCCGTAGTTGGCGTGTCCAATGATGATTGACTGGCGAGCAAAAAGCCAATACAACTGATTAGAAAACCCTGTCCCGCCCTGCCAGGCAGCTCCGGCTTCTGTCCAGTTGCCCTCCCAACGCATGATCTCAGCGGCATTTACAAAGATATCACCTTCAATCCCAACCAGGAGGCTTGTGTCGAGGCCGATGATGTTGGTCAGATTTGTTCCCCAGGCATCTAGGATCTCAGTAGACTTCTTCCAGTGGCCATTCTCGCGGGTGATGTACCAAAGAATGGCGTGCTGGTATGCAGCTCGGGTGTCGGCCGTGAAGGTGCTAAAGTTGCTCGGGCTTCCTCGCGAAATGATGGCTTTGGGGCCTTGCATCACGTAGTCGGTGGATGAGTACGAGTCTGCTTGGAGAGCCTTGAAGCCGCTGATCCAGGGTTCTTCCCCTTTTTCGACCATTGTGCGCATAAGTTCCAGGTCCTGGTGAGAATGCCACATGCCAGGATGGCTGAATTGTCCGAGGCCAGTCATGGCGCCTTTCGGCGTCATGGGAACAACAGGGCCTAGCCGTGGTCGTGTCAGTCATTGATTGCCTTGCAGGGGAGAAAACTGTACCGTTCAGAAAAGGCAGCTGAGTGACTCTGGCAGCCGAGTATTGCATCAAGGAACACAAAGCCAGTGCGAACTGTAGTTTGATCACCAGTCAGCCAGTCGTCCATATCGGAATGGGCTTTGTCCTGAAACTTGCCTGAAGACTCGATTTTACCAACTTCATTTTGTCAGATGCACCCCTTGGGGCGAGGTCTGGTTAATGAATGATTGTCGAGTCTGTCAAATAAACAAACCGCTCGACTGTGTCGGCAGCTGTTCTTATGTGCCTGTCCTGACCTGCCTGAATCGGCTTGACTTGGGAGACGCTTGACGGCTTGGGAATCTTCTGAGGCATTCGGCCTAAGTGTCGGCGTCTTCCTGCGGGGAAGACGGCCCTATGACCAGCAGGGGCACATATTCAGGCAGGGGGTAATTGCCAGATGAGACCCTGTACATGTAGCTTCTTCGGTGGTTACTGTAACGGCCTCGGGACAATGCCCGCCCGAAAAGGATGGTCTGAAATGATGACACCGGGAAAATACTCGGCATGAAAGCCCGTTTCAGGGTGCTCACCTCAAAGCCCGAGGCTGTGGCGGGAGGGCTTTACTTATAAGTACGGTCACTGTCAGAAGAGCCAATCGGTCAAGCAAGCAGAGATTAGCTCCACCTCGATCATTCCCTGACAACCCCGCAAGATATACATCGCACATGTTCACTTCGCTCGTCTTCTGGCTCCTTGTTGAGCTCCTTGCAGTCTCGTCCGTCCAGGCCGCCAAAGAGATTGCAAACAACATCATCACTTATCCAATCCCCTCTGGCGTCGAAAACTCCACGGCCTTCGAAGTGAAGGTGCGCACGCCTGGTGGGAAATGGAAGGACGTGGCTGTTTACCGCCCGACTCTTACTGAGATCAACGCAACCTCCGGGTCACGATCCTTGTACCAGTCATCAATGGTCTACTTTGACTTCAACGGTACCGTGGAAATCGCAGCAACATGGTCCAAGGAGCGTCCACAGGAAGTTAGGGTCCGTCCTGACTCGTACGGCATTAAGGCCCAGAAGTCGGGTCGGAGCGTCAGGTTCACTCTCGACCGACCGCGCGACGTCGTTCTGCAGATCAACGGCGAGATTTTTGACGTTCTGCACATCTTCACCAATCCACCACCCGTAGACGAGCCGTCGCCGGATGACCCTGATGTCATCTATTACGGCCCTGGCTTTCACTCGGTGTCTGGCAAGATTCAAGTCCCCTCTGGAAAGACACTCTACATCGCCGGCGGCAGCGTTGTCAGCGTTGAGGCCATCGAGTTTACGAATGCGACCAACGCCGCTGTCCGTGGCCATGGTGTATTGACATACCCGCGCTCTGGCAACATTTTGGTGACTCGATCTCAGAACGTCGTCATTGAAGGACTCATCGGACTCAACTTCATGGCCCGGACATTCGAGGCAACAGACGTCGACATCAAGAATTGGAGATCCTTCAGCTCTGTCCAGTGGGGCGACGGCATCGACCTCTTCTGCAGCCAGAATATCCTCATCGATTCCGTCTTTGTGAGAAGCGCCGACGACTCGGTAGCCATTTACAACCATCGAGGTGCATGGTATGGCGACGTCAAGAATATCACGATCCAGAATTCATCACTTTGGGCAGATGTTGCCCACCCTATCAACGTCGGAACCCATGGCAACACTGCCGACCCAGAGACGGCCAGTGACATCACCATTCGCAACGTCGATATCCTCGACCACAGGGAGAAACAGATGCTGTATCAAGGAACTATAGCGCTCAACGCCGGGGATAGCAATCTACTAGAGAATATCCTTATCGAGGACGTCCGTGTGGAGAACTTCCGGCTCGGCCAGCTGCTCAACTTCCGTGTCATGTTCAATGAGAAGTATAACACGTCTCCGGGTCGCGGGATCCGAAATGTCGCCATTCGGAACCTCAATTATAACGGCCATGGAAGCATCACCTCTCTATTCTCGGGATACGACGCTGAACGGACCATCTCCAATGTCACATTCTACAACTTGACGGTGAACGGACAAGTCATCACAGATTCCATGAGAAAGCCGGGCTGGTACTTGACGACGGACTTCATTCCACTTCATGTTAACGATCATGTTCACGATCTCACTTTCAAGGCCTAAAACCAAGCCATCTTGTAGAGCATGACGCGAAGAGAACAGGCTTCGATAGGATAGCTCGCATGGCACCTCATCACAGGCAATGTCGTGACCAGAAGACATCTGCTGCCAAACTGAGAATGAAACCAATATAAATGAGGGTTATCCTACATGCCCGAGGCACGTGTCTGTTCCCCGATCTTGCCTGCCTTGTAGATCTACAATGGCCAATTTCCCCACTAGCTCAATGCTTGGCGTTTGGGCTCTCATCCAGATGCAACAAGACGAGCAAGTTATGATGACCCCAGTGATGGCGATATCGCTTTCCGTACACATACATGGGAACGGTGAGAAGCATCAGGAATCCTGTGATGCCAGCGATTGTGTCAAAGAGTTCAGCTGTACCCCTTGCCACATACCAATCCACAATGAAATTTGTCAGACTGCATAGGATCAGCATATGATAGAGAAGGAACCATGGATTAACTCACCCGTAGAAGAAAAAATTCTTGAACGTGATGTTCATTATGAACATTTCGACGGCATGTGCAGGCTGAGCGTCAAGCGCATATGTCATGGTGACGCTAGCAGCCACGCTCATGCCAAACAGTGTGATGCCCCAAATAGTAGAAATGGCATAGATGGACAACTGAGCTTCGATTGCATGGCCAAATCCCACCAGGCCAGCTACAGAAAAGACTGCACCCACACTTGCAAGGACAAGTCTGAACTCTGGCTCATAAACACCCTTGTTGCGTCTTGTCATGAACTTGATAAGAGGGTCTGAAACAAGGCCTAGAAAGATGGTAGCGAGAGCACCTCCGACAAGTGGCCCAGCTGACACGTAGCCAACCGCTGCAGCGTTGAATCCCCATGGAGGTGCCGCAAACATGACACCGGCAAGAACCGACATGGCCACAAACCACGCCATAATCAACCCAGACACGAAAATGTTGTACGAGGCGATGAGGTTGAGAACGATGAAAATACTGGCCAGGACCATGGAGATCAACGACTTCTCTGTGAATCGCCCATTGTAGAGAGCAAGCTCCTGGTAGAATGTCTTTGGCCGTGGAAGGTCGCTCCTTGTAGAGCCAGGGTTAGACTTGCATTGGGCAATTTCAACATGGTCTGCATCAGCTCTCTTCTCTTCGGCTCCATCCAGGTCTGTGTTGGAGCCGATTCGATCGATATTGAAAACAGGCGATCGGTTGTACGCGGTCTCGGGGACGAATAGAATGACCAGGGTGGTCTGTAGCGCCACAAACGGCAGGAGAATGTGAAAGTTGTAAGGCCATCCGAGCCTGGTTGTAATGAGGCCGGCGAGGACGGACACACCGTTGCTCAGACTGCTTAGGAAGAAGATAACCAGAGCAACGTAGACACCGCGTTGGTGCACAAAGTAGATGTCGGTCACGACAGAGGTGCAAAGAGACTCGTAGGCAGAAGCACCAAACCCCTGGAGCAGTCTTCCCGCGACGAGCGTGTTGTAATTCTTAGAGAACTCGGCAACGAGGCATCCGACGAGGCCGATGACGGAGGAGAGAACAAAGACAGGGCGCTTTCCGTATTTTCGAGCAAAGGCTGAAGCAAAGGGAGAGACAGCACCGATGGCAAGTAGCATGTATCCGTTCAGCTTGGCAACATCGGAAAATGATCGATCAAGGTCGGTGGCAACTTGGACGATTCCTGCATTCAACATGGGTGCCTACAAAGCAACATTAGTTAACTGAAAATGTAAGCCTGACTTGAAAAGGGGCGACCGTACAGGAACCACGCAGACAAAGGCTGTTCCAAGTAAGATGATGGCAAAGACAGCCATCTTCTTGGAGTTGGACCAATTCAATGGATCGTTGGGATCATCGGCGGGCTGCGGAACAAGAACGATATGAGATTCCTTGCCCGAGCCTCGCTTCAGACGCTCATGAGTCTCGGAAGGACCGGCAGCTGACTGATCGAGAGTGACCGTGCCAGGGACATGGTGACCGTCGGTATTTTCAAGAACTCCTAGACCCATTGTGAATGCCGTAACAGATGTTTAATGAGATGCTCTTGAGAAAATCCCCGAGCCCAGCTGGTCACGCTCAACTACTTAATACAATTCGTCACCGTCACCATCACCATCACTTGATCCCTTACCTTACAACTGAGCTACATGCGCTAGTTGTGGGGTAGTTAGAATGCGGGGGTGGGGTCGTATGGGCCTTGTAAATCCGGGGTAAAATTAGCGACCCTTGATGACAAATTGTCGATACAGGGTGGCTCCCCCAATTTCTCTTTTTTTCATTGTGTTCAATAACGAATCTGCGAGAGGTTGGCCCCTTGTAGTATAACCTATTGCCTCTCTAATATAGCTTTTACCTTTGTGCTGTTTCAGTGGTTTAATATTTACTTCCAGAAACTTAACACAAGTAGACACGGCTGAGTATTTTACGAATGTATTATCCTGATGCAAGCCCGGCCCTTAATGGGATAAATGCGCCAGAAGATAGAGCATTTTAAGATGTGTATCATATGAGACAAATACGCAGGCAAATGCTTGATGCTATTCCATTGAGCCTGCTTTCACAGTTTCGTGTCCTCTTTCGGTGTCAAAACAAAAGCCTTGTATCCGATAAAAAGTCCTTTAGGATCCCATTTCTCCCTAATCCTCATGAATTTCGCACAAGCAGACTTTGACCACACTGGGATCTACAAGAAAAATCATGTGAGCATTAGGTTCGTGAATCTGCACACCGCATCACTTACACTGGAAGAGTGAAGAGCACCAGGTGACTGGTCAAAGTCAGCAACGTACATTCCACAGGCGACAGACTCAGCCTGCTTATATGAGTGTTGCATGACTTGTCGGACTTTGGTTTGGAGTGATACGTCTTTCCATCCTGAAAAAGTTGAGATATAATATTGTTGAGGGATGCTAAGAACCGCATCCGCCTCATCGACGTCCAGGGTGTCAGCCATGTAGATGCATCCGTATGATGATCGTGTTGGTAGATTACACATGGCTGGTTTGATGGCTTCAATGAGCTGCAAGTCGGCTGTGTAAGAACTCGATTTCACATCTATGAGACCTGAATACGCACCTTGTCACGAGGAATAGCTGGGTCATTGAGAATGCTGTTGATACCCCATTTCTGACCTGGAGTCTGTGGGTTCAAGAGGTGTTGAAGCTTGAAGAACTCTTCCCAATCGACTTCGGCCACAGGCTTGGACTCAATCAGGCATCCTTTGAGATTTTCCGGCACCTGATCCCAGACGCTGAGCATGCTCTCTGCTTCTGAAAGAGTGTCTGCATAGGCTGAAATGTTGACAAGGAGCAGAAGAGGTGAAGTAGAAGGCACACTCTCATCGGGGGAATCGGGTTCAAAGAGCTCGGGGTGCAGGGTACATGCCGCTGTCTCAGTAAAGGACTTGGGCATCTGGTTGTTTCGTTCAAAAGCAAAAGAGAGGAAGGCCTCGTAGTTGTCTTTACCGGAGAAGGTATAAGCACGGCCATAGTGTTTCTTCTTTGGAATGGTGCGGCTCCAGATCCGAGTAACAACTCCAAAGAAGGCCTGCCCAGCGCCACGTGCGGCCCAGAAAAGATCTGAGTTCTCTGTCTTGCTTGCAATCAAGACCCTGCCGTCGGGAACAACAATCTCCAATTTGATTATCCAATCGGTGACAGTAGCTCCCCATCCTCTCATGAAGAAACCTTGGCCACCGGCCAGGCAGAAACCACCCAGGGCCACATCTGGAGCATGCCCAAAGGGGAAGAACCGGCCTAGAGCGTCGGTGGACTTCCAGGCCTCGTACACGCGGACGGCAGGGCCAAAGGAGACCTGGCCGGTCTGGGAATCGTACTTGATCTCCCTGTTGAGGTGACTGACGTCGATCAGGATGCCGTTGTTGATCAGTGATGGCTTCGATGGAAGGTGTCCTCCCGATCGTACACCCACGGCCACACCAAGTTCTTGGGCCCTTTGGAGCGCCTTGTACACATCCTCGACTGACTGGACAGCGTGGATCTCAATTGGAAACCTATCAGTTTCCTCTTTGTTGAAGTAGCGCTCGCGGGAGTTCTCATAGTCACTTGTCCCTCTTTGGAGCACGGTGGGTAGGATAACGTCGGGAGAAGCGCTGCTAGTCATGATGATAGGGGGACAATAGATGTGATATTGGTGGAGATGTTTAGAGGTGTGGTGTGTGTTGAACTGAGGGGAGGCTCGTAATTTGGCTGCCAGCCACTTAAGTCTAATCCGAGGGTAGCCCGGTTGAGGAATAGAAAGGGGGCTCCTTGGCATGCCGAGGGATCATGCCATGACATGTGTGGGGTAAAGAAGATGACGGCCGACTACGGGACTGGGAGAAAAGAGCACGATCCAATATACAATCTGATGCTTCAGATTTACTTTTACCGTTAGGAATAAATACATAAAACAGAGCGGACTGTGAATCGAGAATAAAACGTTAGATGCGGTCATTGGAGTAGTCAGATAGATACTGGTACGCTATCAACAGCCAAACACCAAGGCCAGCCAGAGTCCCAGCAGAGTATCAAATCCAATGGCTTGGCCAATACTGGCCATCTCACGATACTGTTCCGTAATTGCCTCTGTTTCCTTGAGATGCTTCAACTGGCCACCCCCTAATTTCGCGATGGCCCCAGACACCGAGAACGGTTCCCAAGACTTCTCACCATGGACAAACGCAATGAAGACCTTGGCAAACTCTTCCGACGCCGCCCTCTGGGTGTTTTCAAGACTTTCGTTGTAGTTCTGTAGCAGGAATGAGATATCGAGAATGTGTGTACTATGACCCTTAAAGGGGCCATCCCAGGGATTCGGTTCAGCGAATTCCATGACGAATGCATCCTGCGGAAAGCTAGCGGCGAATGCTCGCGCCGCGGCTTGGTTACCAATATCAGACCCAAAGGTAAGAACTCGTAGTAAAGCATCCTGATCATCAAGTTCCGGGGTGATGCCATAGCACCTGAGGAGGCGATCTGCTGCACCGCGGTGAATAGATAGGAACTTGCGGGCAAGATCGGAAAATCCCGAGGCTATCCCTTTTCTCTGAGAAAACAGACCCATGAATGCAAATATACTGGCCTATGTAGCATGTGCAGGTCAGCAAAGTTTCGGTCTCCGAGAATATCATGTTAAAACTTACATCTAGAGGAGAGTGGATGACCATCACAGCTTCGGACGACTTAGACTTCAAAATGTAGTCTTTGGACTGTATGAAACTGAAAGTCTCGTTGTAAGGCACGAGCTCTCCGTCTAGAACTGGAATGAACGGAAGGGCGGGATTCTGGGCTTTCTGAAGCTCTTCAATGGAGAAGGCCTTGAGAGCTTTGACTCGTTCCGTGGCGGACAAGTCCTTACATCCCAGAGCACCAACCAAGGCTTCATAGCTCGACTCGGCCACTGATTTGCTGATGGGGGCGACGGAGGGCGGGGCGCCACCCATGACGATAACCCGAGAGGTGAGAGCCTCCTCTGTGTACAGAAGACGGACAGCTGACACTGAGGTGATGGGTCTTGCTTAGTCTTACTTCTCGATTACTTTCAGAGAGGGCCCGAGACTCACAGCCACCCACGCTTTCTCCTGCCACGGTGATACGATCGGGGTCACCCCCGAAACCACCGATATACTTCTTGATCCAGTAAATCGAGGCTCTCTGGTCTAGTAATCCACGGTTCGTCTTGTATCCAGCCTGCTTCAGCTCCTCGGAAGCCGCGAACCCTGGTGCCCCAAGTCGATAACTAGCAACGCCAGGGGTGAGCGCCTTGTACCTCAAAAGAAGGCATATCCATCAATCGGGGAAAACAGCACACACTTAATATTGATGCCAATGATAGGCTGACCCAGCTGTGCCGATAGCCGCACGATGCTGGCCATGTCGTATTGCGGCCACCAGTTTGATCCCACCGCAAAGCCGCCGCCGTGGATAAACACAAAGACAGGAAGAGGAGCTGAATGGTTTCCCGATGGGATCGATATGTTCAAAGTCAGGCAATCAGTGCCCGACAAGCCGGGGAAATCGGGCTTTGGCAGCGTCTTCTGGATGGCCACCATTTCATTGTCTACTGCCCGAGGGTCAGAAATTGCCTGCGGCCTGCACGTAATTAGACCGAGACCTCCATCGCCCTACAAGGTCGTGACTCTTACCCATGTTTTCGGACAGTTATGCCACTTCCATCATATGTGCTCAACTTGGGGTTGTCAAACCAGTGCTCAAGCGATGCATATTTGACCCCCAAGAGCTGTGTCACCTCGCCCACCTTGAGACATTGAACCACACCAATATCTGGGTGAGAAATTTCAGCTGGCTGAGGTTGGAAGGGCGCCATGGTGGAGGAATTGCCGAATAAGAAAACGAGATGGTGTCTAGTGAAGTCGATAGTTCAAACCCCCTGAAACTACGGCGTTCCTCTTGATATCGACTGGCGTTTGTTACCCCATGGGGGGTCTTTGTACCCCACATTCAGGGACCCAGGTTGGGCGCCAGACTCCATTCAACCTGAGAACTGCCCGGACACACCTAAATCCAGGCTTCTAGACCTAATTATTTGAAGCCTTGGTATTACATAGCTATCCCACACACATGCCATTTCGCCGAGTACAGTCACCTCTTCCATCAAACGATGCCGTCAGCTCGCGAGTACATTCGGCACCCCAACGGGCAGACTACAAGCTACTTCTACGACAGCTTCGTGGATCCGTGGCGTATCAGCGAGACTATCTTGATACAGCACGGCTTTGCTAGAACAGCTGATCACTTCTACCACTGGGTTCCGGCTCTTGCGCGGCGTTACAACGTTATCCGCCGAGACCTACGCGGCCATGGAGGTTCAAGCTTCCCAACCGATCAAGATGATTCATATGACTACTCAACCGCCACCATCGTCGAAGAGATCAAAGATACGCTAGATCAGCTAAATATCGACAAAGTGCACTTCATTGGCGAGTCCACCAGCGGTATGCTGGCCGAGATCTTTGCCGCCACGTACCCAGATCGAATCCATTCTGTCATTATTTGCTCTTCACCAACACACCTTCCTCTGGCCGCACAGCAGTTTCTGGCCTTTGGAAAATCTTCGTGGCCCGCGGCATGCCGAGAGCTAGGGTCACTTGGCTGGGCTCAGCGGCTCGCGGCGTCTAGTGGGACTGTGTCCAGCAGCGACCCAGACTATATCAAGTGGTGGATCGACAAGGTAGCAGTCAGTGATGGGAAAGGGCTTGCGTCTTATGCCGAGTTCTTGTGCAAGTTGGACAGTAGGCCATATCTCGGCCGCATAAAGGCGCCGATGCTCATCCTCTGCTCGACCAACAGCGCCATGGTTACCGTTGAATCCATGCGCGAGCTTGCCAGCCAAGTTCCAACTGCAATACTGGAGGCTATTGAGGCCAAGGGCCATGAGATTTATGCTGAGGCTGCTGAAAAGTGCCTTGCCAAAGTTCTCGAGTTCCTCAAGAGTCTTCAACTTGGTCAATAACAATGACTGCATCCAAAGGCTACGATGCTCGTAAGGGTTTACGTTCTTATGCCATCATGTATCTATAGATGTGGTCTTTTTTAGCTGGGGTCGACAGCCTACATATGATAATGCGTTAATAAACCTAATTGGCGCGTTCACTGCCCAAGCTGTTTAGGGATTTGCAGGCCGTAGCAATCACTGTCTGGCAGTTCAAGGTCTGTCTGGGCTGCTGAGCCAGAGGATTCACTATAAGTTATACAATACAGACTCGGGTTCCAGTACGACTCGACCTTCCTACAACTATGCTCAGTATCGCGATGTTTGGAGACCATTCTTCTGAGCAAATAATCTCCATGCACCAAGGTATCTACATACATTTGGTTTAATTTAACTCAATTAGTCAATGTCTGGACCACACCCACGTCTATAGGTGAGAAGCTTTTATTCATCCTTCGCATTCGTAATGTGCAAATACACAGAAGACCCGTCCCGATCCTAAGCAGAGGCCATTGATTAGCATGTTTCACAGCGTATACAGGCCATATAGAGGATGAACCGGCCGGTCTACTCACAATGCATCGTGGGTCCTTGGATGCCTCTTCAAAGACGGCATATGCAGCTTTTGCCATTGTTGGCTCAATACTCTCCCGTTGAGCGGCCTCAATACCCAACGACAAGTCTTTTAAAAACATCTGCGTCTTGAAACCTAGCCTCCATGCGTTGCTGCTTGGTGCATGAGGTACGACGTTGGGAACGGGACAGACGTTGTCGCCCATAAAGGTTTGCCCAGTCGAGTTGTTGATGATCTTGTGTAGCATCTTGGGGTCAACTCCAGACTTGACACCAATGGCCATGGCCTCTGCGATAAGTAGCAGCACAGAGCACGAGATATAGTTGTTACTTATCTTGGCTGCCAGCCCGGATCCGACGCAGCCACACCAGAAGATCTTTTCAGGGTCAGCCATGGCGGTGACGACCTGCTGTAGTCTCGTGGCTGCCGCATCATCTGCAGCTGGCTCAGGATGGCCGATCATGAAAGAAAGCGAGGCTTTTTCAGCCGCAGGGACGCCTCCCTGGGAAAACATTGGATCAGCATACACATTGCCAAGTGTGGGCGGTCTGTTCTCACGGATACAGGGGCATCGGCGTATATGCCCTGGCCTGCCTCTCTCACCAACCGTGACACCTTTCGGGCTGTCTCTGTGTCGATTGTGCTGCACTCAAGCAGGACTCTCTTTTCATTCCTAGGCGCCGCAATGATGCCAGTTGTTGGATCAAGATAAACGCTCTCCACCTCCCGGGGGCCAGGGACCATGCTAACAACAACATCGGCTTTGGAGGCTAGATCGCGCGGCGAGGTCTCAATGTGTACTAGCCCAACACTGCCAAACTCGTTACTGAATCTCTCAGCTGACGGCTTGTACACGTCAAAAACGTGCAAAGAAGCACTGCTCGGCAATTTACGCCTGATTGCAGCGGCCATTGGGTAGCCAATAGCGCCGAGACCTTCAGGTGTAACCAATGTTAGTTAAAAGACAGTTGTCTAGCTGGAGGGCCTACCTACCAATGAAGCCCACATTGAAGTCCATCTTGCATGTATTTTCTGAAGACTAAGGTCGTATCAATAGAGCCAGTTGTTTATCAGAATGCTCTTGTATCAAGCGAGAAAGTTATCTACGTCAAGGCAAGGAGCACGAATCAGACCCCACATTAGAAAGGGGAGGGGTAGTGTTTCAATGTGCTCCATCCATTTACTACCCCACAACCTGTCGTCAACCCCAGACAGGGAGCCTCCTGATCGAGACCCCTCCGGCAGTTGAAGGCTTCTTGATAAAGCCGGCTCGTGATTGTAGGTCGAGCCGGGTCACCTGCTCACGATTGCCCCTGTCCCAGCCAGCCCGCTCGAAACCATACACTCGTCAGCCATGACCACCTCCAAGCCTTTGAGGGTTGCCGTCATCGGTCCAGCGGGGTTCGGGGGATCTTACCTGTGCGTGGAGCTGATCAACCGCGGACATCATGTCGTTGGTCTATCCCGCAATCCGGAGAAGCTGGGGTCTCATGTCAACTACGAACCGAGGCCCATAGACATCGACAACAACACCGATTCCCAGCTGGCAGAGGCGTTGCACGATGTCGACGTTGTTGTGAGCGAGTATGGTCCCCACACAGCTGGACACCAGGCGCTGCAGTATGGTGAGTGGTCTGTGTACCGGATTAGTTGTTTTCACTGACCATGATAGTCCCTTTCATCGAAGCCGTCCGCAAGATCATCTTGGCTGTTAAGAAGGCCAAGGTTGGCTACTTTGTCATGGTCGGCGGTGCCGGAAGCCTCCACATCGCTCACGAGGACGACCTGTGTGTTGCCGACAGTAAAGACTTTTTCCTGGCCTACCGCAGAGCCATTGCAGACAGCCATGCTCATGTCAGCTATATGGAGGGTAGACTAGGTCCCATGGGAGGTGGCCTACGCAGGTATCGGAACGCGCGGCTTACCCTGAGGAATGCAGGCGCTTCAGACCATGACATCAAAGCCGCAAAGGCGGCTGTCAATGAATACGAAGAGGGTGTAAAGCAGGATCGGGCCTCGGAGTTTATCAAGGCCGCGAGGGCCAGCTACATGTTCTTTGATGGAAACACGTCTTTCAACTGGACGTTTGTGTCTCCCAGCCCTCTGTACCGTCCAGGGAAGCGCACTGGCAGCTACGAGGTGACGATTCACAACCTCCCCCTGAAAGGCGAGCCTAAGGGCGAAAATCGGTTGGATGGCAGACTGACAGGCATTTCGGCTGCGGATCTTGCCATTGCAATTGCGGATGAGGTTGAGTCACAGAAGCACAAGTATCAACACTGGACTGCAACAGCTGATCTGTCTGACGACACACCGGCCCCCTCTTATCTTAGGCTAGAGTAGAGTCTCTCCCGACCCAGTGCGTGATAATACATGCTGATTGAGATTCTCTATTGAAACAAACTTTGCTCCCTTTTGTAATTGATATCTGTCAAGGGGCAAATAAGTCCATTCCCATAACCCTCACTCTTGTGAGTTTGGCAAAGATTCCAATACAGTCCATAGCCAGGCTAACCCCATCTACGTTACCCCATACTAAGAGATGCAAAGCACCCCACAGGTAAATGTCTCATGGCGACCCATATAAGGAAGCACAGTGTAGCTAGTCGCACAGGCAGAGCCAACACGTCCTAACATCAAAATTCTTCATCCGTAATTCACAAATAATCACCAAAAATGTCCAACTACGTCGTTGATGAAGCCGAGCTAGAAAATGTTCGTGGCAGGGTCATCTTGGTCACTGGGGGTGCTACCGGCATTGGTCATGCCATCGTCACCCTCGCCCACCGTATGAATGAGCCTGTTCCAAAGGCGAGACGTAAATTAATGCTAACTCATCCAACAGGGCATGGCGCAAAAGTGGCATTCTGTGATGTTAATGAAGAAAGCGGGAGGAACTTCCAGCAGGAGCTTGGCAGGTACACGCGCTCATTCGATCCAACGCAACTGTCTTGACTCTTAACATCTCTAGTGACGTCCTATTCGAGAAATGCGACGTCTCAAACTGGAGCGAGCTGCTCAGATTTTTCCAGCTCACATACACCAAGTTCGGTGCCATCGACTCGGTCATCTCAAATGCCGCCATCAACAGGATCGAAACACTCGAGGACCCATCCGACACCCCAACATCCGAGCTGCCAGCTCCAGACATCTCGGCCCTCAATGTGAACATTGTTGGTACCTGGTATGTTACCAAAGCTGCCATTCACTTCTTCGGCAAGAATCCCGAGACCAAGTCTCAGCTTGTGCTGTTCGGATCCGTGGCAAGCTACTTTGACACACCGCCGCTGTACACCTACTGTGCCAGTAAAGCCGGAGTTCTTGGCCTTATGCGTGCTCTCCGGACTCAACTTCCCAAGCAGAATATCACCGTAAACATGATTGCACCATGGATGACAGGTAAGCAACTCTCCCCCCTTAAACTGACATATTCCAGCTGACGAGCAATCACAGTGACCGCCATGGTGACTGACCACATCAAGAAGGTCTGGGATGAGCTACCGGCCAACTCACCACTTGATGTTGCCAAAGCCAGCTTGTTACCCATTGTGCGCCCGCAAGTGAATGGCAAAGGCTTTCTGATAAATGGAGGTAACATTACGGAAGTTGAAGATAAGCTCGATGAGACGCAGCATGTGTGGCTGGGTTCGGAACTAGACAGCAATATGAGAGAGGGCCAGCGTAGACTTATCCCATGAGCTTCACAGGATCTAAGTAGTTAGCTTTCGCAAACATATACCACACCGAATTGGTATAGCTTTGGTCAATTGAGAGAACAATGATTGTGCCTAGTTCCTCAATGACAGCTCAGGCAGTATGTTTCAGCTTTCTGGTGCTTCAAGGGCAAATGACAGCGATACTCAAGTGATACATACCCAGGGCGCTTATGGCAACTGATACAGGTCATACCTGAGATGAGGGGACAAAATACAGGATGAGATGCCATAATAATACAGTACACAAACACACATACACACACACAAGTCACATTTTCTGGTTATCAAGTTCTTGCCTGTTTGCCCAACTCACTGCTAGATTACATCTCTCAACGCCCTCAATAAATCAGTTCATCAGTCTTGGTACCCTCAAATTCCTTCTCGATGATCCGTCTGTGTTTGTCCGAGCGGCAGGTAATGGAGCAGTCAAACATCTCAGGAACACTGAGGAAGCCAGTCATCATGGTCGTTGAGGGTTCAACAGTTGTTCCATCGGCTCTCTTCTTCTTCTCAATGTTGAAAGCCCATAGCGTCCTTGAAATGACAATAAAGAGCGACTTTTCGGCTAGATGAACGCCAGGGCACGCGCGACTGTGAGGACGGTTAGAAGTTACTCTTCGGTGACAGCAGCTGTTTAATATGGGCTTACCGGCCAGCTCCATAGGAGAAGTGATCTCGGTCGTATGGGTCCTGAGAGTTCATATACTCAGCAGCTGTGAGAGGACTGTCGAGATAGCGTGCTGGCTCGTAGGTGTCTGGGTCGGGGTAACGGCTGGGGTCACGTTGGATTGCCCTTGACCAAACTTGTAAGAAAGACTTGTTTATGCAGGTCAGGATCGATATTGTTGTAAACTTACCACCAGTTGAGAACCACCACCGAGTTCTTGGGGATGAAGTGGCCTTCGTACCAGTCATCCTCGGTTGATGCATGGTACATTCCAAACTTGTTTACTGGTCGCCACCTCAGCGTCTCCTTGATCATGGCGCGGATGTAGGGCAAATCAGCCTCATCTTCCCACTGGGGCATCCGGTCTGTTCCGACAACGCGATCGAGTTCTTCCTGGCCCTTCTTCATGATTTCTGGGTAGAGAACCATGGCAAGTGTCCAGTTGTTGATGGTGGTGGCGGTTGTTTCGGACCCGGCCTCAACCAAGCCACCACAGGTGTAAGCCGCAAGTAGGTCGTCGATTCCCTTTGACTTTGGGTCGTTGAGATAGAACTCCTTGCAAAAGCTGTCCCTGGCGGTTCCAGCATCCGTGGTTCTCTTCAAGGTTTCCCAAAGCTCGAGGTAGATCTTGCTGTCGTGGGCAAAGGCCTTTTCTCCCCAAGATCGCCAGTTGCCAAATAAGAACTGGGGCAGTTTGACCAAGCCAGGAAGAGTCTCAACTGCAAAGGCTCCAGGCGCCATCATGATGGAGAGGTTCTCAAGGACACTGAAGATCTTTGTGATTAAGGGATCCTCGAAGCTTGGCACACGGTATCCGTAGGCGACGAGCATGATGACCGAGGTGGAGTACCGGCGGTTGATGGTGTAGAACTGATCAGGCCGAGTCAAGAGGTCGTGCAGGACTACCTTGGACTCTAGGTTCTGCACAGGTCTGTACTTCTTGGACGCATTCAGATTCAAGAGGGCATGACTATGCTTGCGAAGGCTTCTCCATTCAGGCCCGTAAGCCATGAACAGCTGGCGCGACTTTCCGCTGGCGATATTCTGGGCAAGGGGGAGATGGGGTCGGGAAGAGTAGATGGCAGACTTCTTGTCCATCAAATCCTTGACAGCCTTGGGAGAAGATAGCCAAATGTAGTCGGTCGCGCCGATCTTGGTGTAGAAAACGTCGCCGTATTTGCGATGCCACTCGCGGACCTTGTTGCGCACCTGCTCCTGGTCGGAGAGATCGAAGAGGTTGCCTATCAGAGGCCAGCCGGGGGGCCCTCGGGGTAGCTTTCGCCGGCGAGGATCCTGTGGAAGGGGCAAGGTTAGCAAGATCAAAGCCTAGACCAGATTTGATGGTGACTAACTGTGATGGAGTTTGGAACAAGAGAGATGTAAACGCCAGCAAGTACTAGGATAAGAACCACAACGACGGGAACAAGAGTGCCTCCATCGAGGCTTCTGAGGCGCTGCGTCTGCAGACGCACGAGATGTACGACGTCTTGGTGGTTAACTAACTTCATGTTTCAGAACGGATTCGAGCGGTGATGATTGGGGATGAAGACAAAGGTGATGCCATGGGGAGAAGGTGTTAAAGTCATCCTTTTGTCTCTGCAAAAGCCTAACGGTCTCTTTTGCTTCACGCAACACGTTAGTCTGCAGGCACCTGTTCAAGCACCCCATCATTTACCCCATGGAGGTCAGTTAGGCTCCTCCACAATACGCATCCCCGCTCGAGAGCGACATGCCAACACGACCTAGAAGATGGGGTAGATGGCGGCTCTTCGCGGACGGCTTGTCAATGTGGGGGTACAATTGAATTGGGCATGGGTTTTCACTCATAATACAATTGCACCAAGACATCAACTTCAAGCTGCCCACAGCATCGAGACCTTCATAGTTAACTTGCAACAAAGAACCGGCGATTTTATCCTTGAGTTAGATATTGTGGACCAGTAAAACGTCCACTTATACTCAACATTCAAGTCTTCACTCATCCGCTATCATCTGAGCTTTAAGGTAGAGACGATGGCGATTACCTTGGACAGGGTAAGCTTCCACTCCCCTTGACTCCATCAATATAGGCTGACTGGCGACAAGACCCAAGTCTTAATTGTCGGAGCTGGTCCGGCCGGCCAGCTTCTCGGCCTGATGCTAGCGAAGCAGGGCATCTCTGTCACAATTGTTGAGCAAGCCGAGAAGCTTGACGACAGACCTCGAGCCACCCATTATGGCCCTCCAGCTATGAAAATTCTGAACTCTGCTGGTGTTGGTGACGAGGTTCGCTCAAAGGGCTTCATCGTCGACACAGTGGCATGGCGGCGCTTGGATGGGTCGTACATCACTGGCATCAGCCATGAGACTCAGAAGGACAGTGCTGATCGAATGGTCGCCCTGCCACTGAGCCAACTGGCCGAGGTCTTGTATGACCATGCCAAGGCTCTGCCCAAGATCCAGTATCTATTCAACCGCAAAGTGGTTGACATTGGCCAGGACGAGTCAAAAGCCTGGATCGATACAGTCGACCAAACCAACGATGAACAGTCTCGACTGGATGCTGACTACGTCGTCGGCTGTGACGGCGCCAGTAGCATTGTACGGCGTTCGCTGTTTGGAGACTGGAAGTTTCCAGGTAAAACATGGGATGAGCAAATCGTCGCTACCAACGTGAGTCTGGTATCAAAGTGGGCTTAAGTCATCAACTCACGTCCTATTCTAGGTGTATTACGACTTTGAAAGATTTGGCTTTTGCGATTCCAACTTCATCATCGACCCAGAGCACTGGTATATGGCTGCCAAGATTACCAAGGATGGCATGTGGCGTGTGACATATGGAGAGGCATCCGGTCTAAGCCATGACGTGCTGAAGGAGAGACAACCTGAGAAGTTTCGAGCGATGCTTCCAGGTCATCCAGATCCGAGTCAGTACAAGCTGGTCAACATCAGCCCTTACAAGGTGCACCAACGGCTAGCAGAGAAGCTCCGTGTCGGCCGATTTATCCTCGCTGCCGATGCAGCCCACCTATGCAACCCTTTGTGAGTTTGGCCCAATTCCTGGAACAAAGCCTCATCCACTAACTTCACATCAGCGGCGGCTTGGGGTTGACTGGTGGCATCGTGGATGTGGCCGGAGTGTACGAGTGTCTAGTAGGAATCTATACTGACCGAGCGGATGCATCCATTCTGGACATCTATAGCGACATCCGCCGCAAGAAGTACCAAGAAATTGTAGACCCCATCTCCAGCTCCAACCTCAGACGTATGTTTAGCGTGCACCCAGACAAGGTTTTAGAGACAGACGAGTTTCTTCAGATGTGCAAGAAAGCTGCGAACGACCCCAAACTCGCTTCAGAACTGCTTCAGGTGAGTGGAACTTGTAACCGGAAGCGTGACAACGCTAACTTGATAACAGAGTGCCCATCTTCTCAACTACGACTTTACTCAACATTACACGAGATGAAGGTGGATGCACACAAGACCTATGGGCGATTCGGGGCTGGCATAACGATGGGGTAGTGCCCAAGCCCCTGGGGTTTTCATTACTGTAGCCAAATATCTGTTCTATTGATAACAAAGCATTCTTGTCAACACATGTTGAAGACAGCTACAAAGGCCGTGATTCTGTATGAGAAAAATATGGTATCTGATGGTGCGAGGCCTAGCGAAGATCGGATTAAATCACCAGTGGCTGCAAAGCTCTCTGCTGAACCTTCACACCCCTGTCTCGTTTTGATGGCTCATCTTTCGTATTTAAGCCCGGGCGATCGTCTTTTGAGGCTGTAGCCTGGCAATCAATAGCGGACGCCCCAGATCAGAGAATCGGATGCCTCGATTTTAAGTGTGGTCTAGTTATTGAGCTCCCTATTCCTTTCACGAGGATTTCTCATCCCAGTCCTCCTGGCCCCCAATGTATCTAAACAAGACCCTCGAGTCCAAGTCCTTGCAGCTTTCGTCCTGGCTGGCTCCCCTGTACGCCTCCAGCCCCGCGTTACCGAGTAGCATCTTTGCGCCAACCCCGTTGGCGGCTGCAACAGCCAGACCAAAGTCCTTGGCCATCAACTGGACCTTGAAACCTCCAGCGTACCCCTTACTCGAAGGAGCATCGGGGCAGATATTGGGCACCGGGTTCCATTTGTCGCAAATGGTGCTTTGCGCCGTGCTGGTGGCAAAGATGCGTGCTAGCACCCGTGGATCCATGCCTGACCGCATGCCAATATTAAGGGCCTCGGCAGTAGCAAGAGAGATCAAACCAGAACAGTAGTTATTGCAGAGCTTCGCTGTAAGGCCCATTCCCAGTCCGCCACAAGCAATGACTGTCTTACCCATCAGACTCAGCAACCCATTCAGTAGGTGAAACTGTTCATCCGAGCCATCGTCGGCACATCCGACCATGATGGTCAGCGAGGCAGCTTCCGCACCTAAAGTCCCTCCCGATACGGGAGCGTCGTAAAAGGCCGGCTTGGACTTTTGGCTTTGAACCTCATTGGCAACATCCAGTGAAGTTTTGGTGTCGATGGTGGAGCAGTCGACAAGCAGGCGGGCAGACAGGTCAGGGTGCAAGATGCCAGTCGTGGGGTCCAGATATACAGCACGAACATGAGATCCTTCTGGAAGCATGGTAAAGATTATTTCCTATCAATCATCCGTGAGTTTTGGACAACTGCAAATAACGATGGCCCCAGTGGTCTGCCCAGGATCTAAGGGGAATGTCACGAAACGACTTACAGCTTTTTGAGCCACCTCTCTCGGCGAGCGGCAAAGTTCAACTGATTTGGGGTGTTTCCGAGCCAATTTGTTCATGGAACCCTCAAGAATGTCGTAGACAAAAAGAGTCGAATCTCCAGGAGCCTTGGAGATGAGATTTGAGGCCATTGGAAGACCCATGGCTCCGAGGCCTACGAAGCCGAGCTTGAGTGACTCTGTCATCTTCGGGCCGTTGTGTGTTCCAGTAGAACTGTGTTTGAAGCCAATAATGGATCAAGAGGAGATTTTTCGAAGCATGTGGTTGAGACAAGATGGGAAATGAAGCTTTGCGGGGGACTTGATACATGGCGTCTCTGGAGCGTGGAGAAGAGGTTGTGGGGTAATTTACCCCCCGTGGGCGGTCTGGGAAAAAAGATTGAAGAGTAAAAACTCCTCTTGTATAAGGAAATAATCTGCCTAAAATCTAAAAATCATTAGATAAAAGTGTAATCATAATAACTAATACTTTTTAAATGCTTAAGAAATTATTTAAGAATTTCATTATTTGAATTGTGTTTATCTAGGGCGGATATAAAGTGGTGCCTACCTCCCAAGATCTCGTTTCTTTCTTCGGTCGCGTGCCCCATTACCAGATTCATAAGGTCTTAATGCATGGTTTCTGGTCTCGGATTAGAAGACGAGGCCATATTTCATCGAAATGGTCTACATGGCAGCAAAAAAACAGTGATCGATAGTTGGAATTATCATAGCAACTATAGAGCTCCAGGGTAAAACGCATCCTGGTTATTTCGTGCCCAGGTAGCATCGTGGGCAAAAATGATCCGTAGATCAAAGCCACACTGCTCTGACACATGCTTCCAGAGCGAGAACTTTGCCAAAGTCTCAGTTGCTAGCTTTTTGTCCATGTGTATACAGCAGATCCGGCCATCAGCGTCGGTCCATTCTGCGATCGACATCTCTCCACGTAGCAACCTTTCATCATGGCAGGCGTCTCCAATCAGCAGCACCCATTGTCGAATTCCCTTTCGTACCAGCAGGCCAATATGCCCAGTGAGATGGCCTGGACAGTCGACGATGTAAATCGAGCCGTCGTCAGTCAGGCTACGAACGTGTAATCCACCGGCTTCCTGCCAACCCTCTAAATGTTGGGTTGGAGGGGGAAACTCCTGTACGTTGAGTTTGTCGAATAGGTCGTCTTGAAATTGGGAATGAGACATGTGCCCGTTTAGGCCATTCTTGAGCACATCAAGGGATCCTGCTCTAACCAAAAACTGTGCCTGGGGGAAGTCGGAAGGTGTGCCGATGTGGTCCCAGTGAACATGGCTAAGGATGACCTCGTCAATGTCCTGACGGGAAAGGCCGCCGTCGAGCAAGCTCTGTCGTACATCTGGCAAAGGCTGCAACGGTAGGCGATTCTGGAGGTGGTTCTGAATCGGAAGGCTGTACTCTTTCGTATTTCTTCTCAGTCCCAGGTCGAACAGAATACGCCTGGGGCCGGCCGCAGATGATTGATGGACGATGAGAAAAGACAGAGAAGGGACCTGACAGCGTTCGTTGTCTGGCTCTCCAGACACGAATGTCTTCTTGGGAAGCGTAAAGGTGCCACCTCGCAGAGCCGAGACCTTGGTGACACCTAAGGCTTTATCTTCAAGGGCCTCCAAGGCAATTTTCACGCTGTCAACATCGGACATTTTGATGGGATAACTGAGTCAAAAGATAGAATAGAACCTGGCGCGATCTGTGCCGACGCAATTGGGAGAGACAAGTAAAAGAAGGATGAAAGGAAATGTTACCCCACATCGACGGCCCATTCGAGAAAGGTACCCCCGACTCTCAGCGCACATACAACAGGTTCAAGTCGAAAGATGAGCCAGCAATGGGGTCTGAATAACAACATTGGACGTGCTCCAGGCAAGAAATATACAAGGATCAGATATCGTACATGACCCGTCAGTTATTGACCTGGGGCCTGAATACAACCATTTCATGATTACACGCTCAGCCTCCCTCCTCTGCAAGTATAGCCCATTCATATCTAAGGACCACTACCAAGCGAATGACGGCGATTTGATCTCGTTATTCTTTCATAGGCGTCAGCCAAGAGGCCAAGGGCTGCTCCCATCTGAGGGGTGATGGCCCAGATCCATACCTGAATAGCGGTTAGTAGGGCACAAGCGAGCTTTCGTTACATGACTTGACTTACATCTTGCAAGAACCAGCCCCAAGTACGGGCTACTCCAGCGGCCAGTGATGTGCTTTCGCTGCCGTCATATTCCGCTTCCTCAAGCACCTCTCGGATGATTGCAAACAGCTTGTCCTCCTCAGGGGTGGGTTGTAGGCCACACAGGGAGTCGATTTCGACCGAGTGCACCCACTTGGTGACTAGAAGTGCTGTGAATGCTGTCAGAATATCTCAATTGAAGGGGACCAAAGGGCAAAGATGCTGCACATACCGCTTTCCCATCCAGCGATAGCATGCTCAACGCCCCATCGAAACGCTGCCGTCTTTCGCACTAACATGTGGCCCAGTCTTACGGGAATGATCAGCCCCTCCAGTGTCTTTACGCAGGCCTCGAGGAGTTGCGGGCTCCGTTCTATCTTGGTTGTCACAAAGGAAGTGATTGATGCCTCCATATCGACGGGATCTTGGCATGTCAGGTTGATCTGACATGCTGGCTTGAAGAGCCTAATGTAGGCAATCCTCAGGACAGCATGGCTATTGAAGACCAGTGATGTCTCGGTGTCGCCATTGTCATCTGGGTGGCAGGAATCTTTGTCACCGCTCCTCAAGAAGGACTCGCATCGAGTGAGGGACTTGAGTGTGCTCTCTAGGAGGGAGAGACGAAGATGGTCCTGACCGATAGACGAGTCTGCAATGGCCTGAAAGGCCTGAGATCTCTGCCACATGTGCAGCACAACAGCATGCATCAGAACAAGGGCCGAAAAGGTCGAGATTCGAGGCGGCTCAACGTTGGACGGGGATTTGCTGGGGCACATGAGGTTCGTCAGGACCTGTCGCATTGTACGTCGACTAACAGGACGTGACTGCTGCTGCTTCAGTCGGTTTGCCCATAGCTCACGCCACTTATTTGACGACTCGGCGCTCCATGAATCTTCGTCCTCAAATGTTTCAAAGTCGAGGTCTTGTGTGGCGTTGAACCCGGGGTTGACATCGAACAAGACCATTGTGAGGGTGCTTGTTATAAAGAGGGCCCCCAATAGCCGTTTCCAGGACTCGTACTCTATCCATTCGTGCCAGGTTATTCGAGGCACGCTGGGTTTGTCTCCAGCTAATGAAGCTCTGACTTTGTTGAAGACCTGGTCACCACTCAGCCAGATGGCCTGCGAGACGCCTTAGCAGACAACAAATTCAACTCACCACCGTATAAAACCCATTGCTATCCATGGTACTAGAGACTAGATTTTTGTCGCCACTCATGATGGCATAGAAACTGAGAAGAACCCTTGCCTGAACATACCAAAGACAGTAGTCCTTGACGAGAGCCTTGTCATCGTGCTGCGATGGGCGTGCAATCTAAAACGGTCAGTGATCTTGCAGTCCGAATGATGCAAGGGAGAATCCAAGACTGAGCCATGTCGTGTGGAAAACATACCGTCTCAACAGAACGGACAGCAATATCGTAAAGATGCCGCGCACGGCGACGATCTAGGCGATATAGAGCTCCGATGCTGCACATGGCAAGCACCAGAGGACTCGGCGTCGTCCTTGGATCAAACGTCTGGAGGTGAATGATGCGTAGGTGTGTGTGAAAGCTCGAAATGTAGCCTAATAAAAACCCTTGTAAGAGTTTAACAGGAGGGAGGTCTGCTCTGGCATGGCTGCCTCCCAGGCGTTCCATGAGATCAGTTTGTATAGAGAGGTAGACACTATTGTCGAGACTTAAAGTGGGATAGGCTAGGCGCTCGCCTGATAGCAATGTGGGAAGGTCACTTTGATCGAATTCTTTCCTAGTAGTATCTGAGAGAGCATTGCCAGTCTTCAGGGAGTCGTCCTGTAGGGGAATTTGGGTGTTCGATTGGCCAAGGTGAGACAGGGCGTCCAATTCGGCCAGGCTGAAATGGTAAGTGGGCAGAATACTCTGCTGGTTCTGTGGCGGGTCGAATAGATCAGCGGCGAGAGGGGTGAATGTAAATCCCGAGAGATCCAAGTCGACATCGGGCATCGGTGAGAAGGTGAAGGGCATGGAGTCTTGGACAATGGGGTTGGAAGGCAATGACTGGCTCTGGTTCTGGCTCTGACGCTGCCGATGCTGATGTGGGAAGATGCCTTTGTCCACTGGTGATTGTGTATATGGAATCAGATGGTCAATGTCCATGTCTATAGCGATATCTGTATCAATCGCGCCATTACTGTTGTGTTGGTCGCTTGCATGGCGCAAGGAGTCGAGAGGCGGATTCTGGGAGCTGTGGCTAGAAACTGGCCGAGGGTGGCTAATCGCGACACTCTCGGCAGCTACTGATGTATCTCTTGGGCCATGGTGGGCGGTGCCTATGCTCACAGTCTCCGCAATCATCGCAACAGCGGAATCTGCCCCGTCGAGAGAAGCTAGGCGACTGGCGACGCTTTGGGAAGTACTGGAGGGCGTCGTGGATGAAGAAGACGGCGAGAGGGCTCCTCCGTTCCCATGCTCTAGGGACGCAGCTCTGGGTGCAAGATCGAGATGGTGACAAGTATCGAGCGCTTGGGGATCTTGGGGAGGCGTGTCCGGGGCTGCCGACCGCGTAGGAGGTGCCCAGGCGACATTTACTTGATCGGCCACGAACTCGCCGTCTGCATCATTCTGTCCGTACTGCTGTGGCTCCTGATCGTGAGCATGCAAAGTGCGCTCGTGCCTGGTGACCAAGTCTCTGTGAGGGGAGTCAAGTCAGCGACGAGCTATGAGCACGTTGGGCCGCACATACTTCCTAGAGTAAGACTTTAAGCAGTATCGACACGCGAAGGGCTTCTCGTGGGTGTGCGTACGCTCATGGCGAACGCAATGCTCGCTACGCTTAAAAGCTTTTGCGCAATGGCGACACTTGTACTGTCGGCGCGGTCGGCCCCTGCGCGAAACGACTCTAGGTGTGGCTACGACGCTGGTCTCAATGGCTGAAGACATGCAAGCCGGGATGATGATTCGGGTGTTAAGCGTGCGAGTTTGAAGGAGTGAGGCAGGGTAGGGCAGGACAGGGCAAAGTGAATGGTGAGACAAGATGAATTCTCTCGAGGTCTCAAAATTGTTGGTGGACGACATGGGGACGACATGGCACAACTGGAACCGTCGGCCTGGGCTCTTGACTCAGCGATTACCAGGGCATCACTCGGCCAATCAGGCCTGTGTCTCCCCCGGATCTGCCCCAGAAACCATGACCGGAGAGGCTAGATTGCGGGGAGGAGAAGATGGGGAACCGAGCCCCGGGATCTATTCGCGGTGGAGAACGAGGGTGGTCATATGTCACCCCCGTGATTCGTTCTACGGCATCAAGCTATCTACTCAGACACTGTCCTGTACAACCACTCCTTTGGTGTCAACCTTGACATCGCCCAGCCAGAACCCCTGCTCCTGCGCCACCGCCCACTCCTCGTGCAGCACCCGGGCCCTCGTCTCATTCCGGGCAACGAACCGGGCCTTGAAGGGCTTGGGCAGCGTGTTGACGCCAGGCTCATACGCATCATCCGAGAGATCCACGGGGATGGGCTTCCCGTCAGGCCCTTGGCCGGGTTCGATGCGGAACGCCCACAGGAGCTTAGCCAGAGTGATGAAGAGGCTGTTCTCAGCGAGATGCATCCCGGGGCAGATCCGTCGCCCGGCACCAAAGTCAAAGTGGTCGCGGCTGTTGGCATCCCGCGATGCCGCGTACACGCCGGCCTTTTCGGGATACGCCAGGTACCGTGATGGATCAAACGAGCGGCCACCGTCCTCCTTCCAGCGGCCTTGATCAAAGTGCAGCACGTACTGGCTGATGCAAACCACCGTATTCTTCGGGATAATATATCCCTTATGCTCGATGTCGGCCGTAGTATAGTGTGGCGTTCCGATATTCGTTACCGGTCGGATACGGAGGATCTCCTTGCCAATGGCACGGATGTATGGGAGGTCGGCCTCATCGTCGAAGGTGGGGGATCGCTCGTCGCCGACTACACGTGATAGCTCCTCGTCTGCTATATCCTGTACTTCGGGGTGCGCTGATAGATATAGGATGGCGCTGTTGAGAGCAGATGATGTCGTCTCTGAACCTGCCTCAATCATTGCTGAACCCCTCGTTGTCAGTAGGCGATTCTTTGGAAACAGGACACGGGGCTATTCTTACAACCCGCAGCAAATCCGGCCTCAACCTCGGAGATGCCTTGCTTCTTGAGGTCAGACTCAACCAGCTGTCTCACTAGACATTCCGGAGCCCTGTTCTCTTTGAGTGCAACTTGAAGCCTCTTCCAGTATCCCATCCATGTGTCCCTTTGCTTCTTGTACGCACGAGTCGCGCTTGGTCGCCACCACTGCAGGAACCATGGTAGATTTCCCAGAGGCGGGATCAAATCAGCGAGATACGCTCCAGGCTGAGCAGCTTGGGAAAAGTCATGAAGAAGGCCGTAAATGGCGCGGATATCGTCACAATCCTGTCCAGGTCATGGCCATCAGAATAGGGCTCTAGTCAAGCCATCATATCATGTTCCACTCACCCATGAAGGCACGCGAAGTCCGTACGTGCTTAGAAGCACCACTGAAGTCGTGTAGCGGCGTACGTGCATATAAAAGTCCTCTTGTGTCGCGTTGTCGGTTGCAATGTCGTAGATGAGCTGCTTGGCCTCGAACTCCTGGCCGGGCTTATATGTGCTAGAACCCTTGGGTGTGAGTGACTTGTGCACAATGGCTCGGAGCTTGCGCCACTTCTCTCCGTATGTGAGCAAGAGGAGGCGATTCTCGCCCGAGAGGATGCCAGAGAGCACAGGCTGTGGCATCCTCCCAGAAGTGACTGCCGACTGTTTGTCAAAGATTTCGCGGACGCTGGGAGGGTCATTGATGAAGACCCAGCTTTCCCAACCTAGCCGGACTGTGAAGACGCTGCCAAACTGCGAGGCCCAGAGTTGCAGTTGCCGATGTGGTTTAGAGCCAAGCTGGTAAGCGTTCCCAAGAAGGGGGATTCCTTTGGGCCCTGGTGGGAGCTTGCCTCGGCCGCGGCCTCGTAAGTATATACATGCCACAAGGAGGACCAGAAGTCCAGCGTAGCCAAGGACAGCCATGATAATGTCGACGTGAGGGTTGCAAAGGGGTTGAATGGCAGAAGGAAAGAATGTGTCATCAGGAAAGCCAGTATCCAAGCGGTAATCAAGTCCTTTTCAAGTTGACTCTGGTCGATACACCATCCCCATGAGCTCAATAAACGAACCCCACGTTCTGGAAGCCCCCACCCCCTCTTTAAGTGCCCCAAGAGTGGTTCGGTACCCCATCCTACACGCCATGCGCCATACCTGGGGCAAGTCACCGAGCCAACCATTTTTCACTCATTTTCAATCTGGCGGCGGACGGGCATATCAAAAGACAGTGATTCGTGGAGCAGCGGCAACGATACCGTACATGTAGGGGCCAAGGGGGCGTTATGGAACATTCAGTACAGGGTTTTATGTCTCATTTTGTACCAGAGTGTGTAAACAGAAGAGATAAATGATGATACTTAGAGCGAGTTCAAGGCTTCTGATGAGCCCGAATTCTCGCCAGGCACTCCTTATCAAACATAGGATGCAGAAGAGACATCAGAGTAGAGTCTTTTCCCTCTTTAATAAACTCGGCGTCGTGAGCCATTGCAATATGCATCCCATAATCGCGAACCGCCATCCTCAGCTTTCCAATGGTATCAAGAGCCGCTCCTAGACTCTCGTGCAAGCAAAACATGGAGCCGTCGGGCATGGAAACGCTGGCTATTTGCTTGACGCCGTCGAAAATTTCCCTACCCAGTGCATGCTGTCAGCCGGCCTCTTGGTCACGTTGTTCAGACTTCCATCTCTTTTTTTAGTCATGATGTATCCGCCAACTTACTTGGAGTGGCAGCAATCGCTTGCCATCAATATCCACTCCCCTGACTTCAGTCTTGCACAAGCCGCCAGATTTCCCTTCATGTGGCCAGGAGCCTGCAGAATCCAGAAGCTACCATCACCAAAATAGTCCAGGGCTTGTTCAAATGGTCCCCACGGCCCCCAAGGCCCTTTCAACTCGTCGTAAGGATCTGTACGGACATCTGGAGTTCCAAAGAAGCGAGAGTCCCACTGTACCATGGGCTCGATCTTGCCGTTGTGTATGTGTCCAGGGGAACAGTGGGAGCCTGTGCCTGGGCCAAATACCACCTTGGCGTTGGGAAATTCACTCCTTATGGGCCGGCAATGATCCCAGTGAGCATGACTGTTTCACGTCCTGGTCAGCACCGGGTGGCTTCAGGGATAATCTACGCACCTGAAGACGACAGTGTCTATCTGCTCATTCGCCACACCCAAGTCGGCGAGCTGCTGGACGAGACTTCGCCGCGGTCCAACTGGGTTGCAGCTGGGCCAATGGAAATTGAGCACAAATGGCGTGTACAATTCACGATCCTAGTCACAGTCAAACTGAGCTCAGGGCTGGAACGGATGGACTAACATTGCTAATGCCCAAGTCCCAAAGAACCCTTGACCCACTGGGTTTATGATACAAGTAGAAGCACCAGTCGTAGAGGTAATAAGGACGGCTGTGCCCATCAGCATGAATCTTGGTGTCGTCTGTCGTCGTGAAACCTCCTCCATCAAGAAGGACGACTTCCACCTCTCCGCTAACACCTGGAAGTTCCCTAGTCATGCTTGCTGCTAGTCTGAGATCTTCTGGGGACAACGGGGGTTCGCCGAGTCCTACAGTACGGCGATAGTTCAAAGTTATGTCCCCGCTCGGAGCGGAAAGACATTTCTACCCCACATTATGCTCACCCCACATAGGTCTTCTGGCTCAGTTATCCCATCAGGGGCCGGGCTTCAACTATATCGAAAAACACAATTCACCCCACATAGGTAGGGAGGTACGCTAACGATGGCGAGTCATCGGTTTCCCCATATTCCAAAGTGCGGGTTCCCCAGGTTCCCCAGGTTTTCGGGGTTCGGAGGTTCGGATAGCCACCTGACTGCCAATGAAGCTATGCCCCCTAAGCGAAGAAGCTCTATATGTGAAGTAGGCCAGTCATCATTAATTAAGTCATACCACATTTAACGGCCCGGTTGCCTTGAGCCTACATCCAACACAGACTCAAGTGGCATTTCTACCTGTCAATCATCCCACATCATGAGTGCTCTATTGTTGACAGCGCAGAACGTCAGCCTCTTGGGGGTGGGATTACTCCTACTGGCCATAGCTCAGACTGTAGGACAAGCTCTGTTCTCCAGCTTGAGAGCGGTGCCTGGGCCCATATCAGCTCGTTTCTCCCGCTTTTGGTACCTCAGAAACGTGAGCAAGGGAACGTTCCACGAGACCAACATTCAGCTGCACAAGAAATACGGCAAGACATTGGCTTTCTGATTTCTCAGGCTTAGGTAGCTAACATGAGAGCCCTAAAGGCCCGGTTGTTCGAATCGCCCCGAACCAGTATAGTTTCAACGACCCAAATGCCATCAAGACGATTTATGGGATCGGCAAGCCCTTCATAAAGGTGCGAACTTCAAGCTGTTCTTTGGCAAAGAATCCAATTAACCATTTCCCCAAGTCATCATGGTACAAAGCTTCTAGCGACCCCAATGCCCAATTCAAGGATCTCTTTACCGATCAAAATGCCGCCAGACACTCGGCCAACAGAAGGCTGGTGGCCAACCTATACTCGGTAACCTCTCTTCGCACGATGGAGAGCGCCGTTGATGAATGCGTTGATATCCTCCTCGATCGAATGTCAGAACTGGCCCGGAGTGGCAAGTCGTTTGATTTGCAATTCTGGATGCAATGCTACGCCTTTGATGTCATCGGGCAAATCACTGCAAGTGCTCTCGGTTCTCTGGCTCAACCCATGACTCTAACAGTTACCATTAGGTCGGCCAGAAAGTTGGGTTTCTGGAAAAGGGAACTGACGAGAGAAACATATTTTCGAGTTTGCATGACTACCTCAAGTATTGTGCCGTCATTGGGGTGGCCAATGAACTTCATGGCCTCCTTTCTTGGCTTATGAGCTTCCTTCCAGCCAACGGCATTGCGTACGTGGCCAATTTCACTCAGGCCAGTATCCAAGAAGGTCGAAAGATACGCTCGATGGATAGTAGCCTCGACAAGGCACAAGACTTTTTATCCAAAGCTTTGAGCCTCCATCAAGCGAACCCCGACAAGTTTCCCGATGCCGCGATTCAGACGCTATGTCTAACCAACTTTGGTGCTGGCTCAGACACGACATCCATCTCTCTCTGTGCTACTATTTTCTCTCTACTCAAGCATCCCGAATGCCTCTCCAAGGTTAGTTCTAAGGTACAAGCTGGCCACGTCTATATCTGCTAATACCTGCCATGGCAGCTGAGAAATGAGATTGATGAAAAGCTGGCCCTTCTAGGATATGTCGACAAGATTCCTTTCAAAGACACTCAGTCTATGCCTTATCTGCAAGCATGCATCAAGGAGAGCCTGAGGCTACACCCAGCCACAGGCCTTCCTCTGGCACGAGTTGTGCCTGAGGGCGGCGCGACCCTCAGCGGAACCTTCTTCCCGGCAGGTGTAAGTGGAAACTCGTACAAACCTTGTATATAGTTTCTTACTGACATTTACCAGGCCGTCGTGGGCGTCAATTCGTGGGTTGCCCACCGCAACCCCGATGTCTTTGGACCGGACACAGACGAGTTCAGGCCTGAAAGATGGCTCACAACAGACAAAGAAAAGCTCAAGATGATGGAAGCTTCTTGGATGCCGGTAAGTACACGAATTAATCCGCATTACACAAACAGCCCGTAACCTGTCCTAGTTCGGAGCCGGATCTCGAACATGTATCGGAAAGAATATCAGCCTTCTCGAAATGAACAAGCTGGTCCCAGCCCTATTGAAGAGGTTTGACTTTTCAGAAGCGGCTTCCTGTAATGTACACATGGAGAACTACTGGCTGGTGAAGCAAAAGGGCATGATTTGTAAAGTTACTTCAAGGGATATGGGAATGGTCTGAGGTAAATCACGCGGAGCTTTTGATAACGAAGAATGGAATAAACCTTGAAGATTTATAGCTTCTTACATGTCCAATTTTCATCGTTGAAGATGCTATTGAATATCGAAGCATGCAATTATGGTTTAGCAGTTTTTCAAGAAAGCAACATGCACCATCCATAACAAGCTGTATCCCCCACCCGTCTAGTCCTTCTTGACAGCAACCTTGCGGTATCTGACAACCTCCGTCCCATTCTCATCAAAGCTGCGATCAGCAACAACCTTGTAGCCTCCAATTCGAGGAAGAACCTTTGTCCAGAGACTCCAGTACACACCTCCCAGGATCAAAACACCGACACCAACAACAGGGAAGACGTAGTACGGGTACCCATCCGCGTTGATATCTCCATCAGGTGGAATGAAGGGTACAAGGGCGAGGAAGATGTTGGCGAGAATGTAGATGACCGAGATGGGGAGGTAGGTGTGCCAAGGGGACGACCAGTTCTCCGACTTTTTGTAATGGAGGTAGATGAGACCAGCGGTGACGAAGCCGTTGATCCATGCGCCGGGATATGTGTACCTGAATTGTTAGACATGATCTGAAGAGGGGCTTATTGACATACAAATTGACAATAAAGTTGTATGCAGGGCCTGCTGGAGGTGCAAGCAGGACAATGACGGTGACGATCCAGTGAAGGAAGAGCTACAAGGTCAGCATGGATTCATCAAGAGTGGGAATAACTTACAGATGCAGCCGGAGCAGTGAATGGCTTGTTCGACGCCCAGAAACGACTAAATGGCAACATGCCTTCCTTAGCCAGCTCTTGATTGACTCGAGCATGCGCAAAAGACACAGCCAAGACATTACCCAAGTTGCTCAGAGCAACAAAAGCAGGCAAGCTTCTCGCAGCAGCACTCTCTCCAAAGATGTTACGGAAGAAGAGACCAGCCACGATAACTTCCGACTTGGCAAGATCAGACTTGGGAATGGCTGCAAAGTAAGCCACGTTGGCCAAGACGTAGAGAATCGTGACACCGCCGATGGCAATGGGAGCAGCGATGGCGAGCGTCTTTCGAGGATGCTTCAACTCGCTGACGACGTAGTTGGCGTTCTCCCAACCCTTGTAGCTGTAGATGATGTTCAACAGAGCATTTGAGTAAGCGTATGCTCCCCCCCCTCCGTATCCGTCTCCCTCTTCAATTCTAAAGGCGTGGTCAAAGTTGTGAGGGTTTGGCACACGGCGATGGCCAGCAAGAGCTGCGAATCCAGCAAAGACGATGAACAACAGGATTACAACCTTGAACACGCCCAAGACATTGAAGAGTCGAATTCCCCACTTGGGTAGGGTGCTGTGAAGGACAACAGCAAAGGTGATGCACGCAACAGCGATACCACGAGCCTCCCAACCGTCAGGAGTCTCCCTGCCAGAAGCAAAAAGGATATATCGACCAAAGGCTAGTGCGTTTCCAGACGAAAAGCCAAGAAGAATCATCTAGGAAGCCAAGACGCAGGTTGCCAGGTATCGAGGTCGACGGTATACACGTTCGAGGTAATTCTTCTCACCGCCCGATCGAGGGATTGCGAGGCCGAATTCAAGGAACACGCTGAGACCGCAAAAGGTGAGGAATCCGCCAATCACCCAGAGCATGAGACAAATCCCGACCGAGCCAGTTGCGGCAAAAATACTTGAAGGTGTGGAAAAAACTATCTTGTTAGTCGCGTCTTGAGGTTGAAAGATTACTCACTTCCTGTCCCAATCATCTTGTTCAAGATCAAAAAGACGGCACCTGTAATGCCAATCTTTCGATCCTCAGAGTAGGAAAAGTTCTGGGCGTCAATGGTGCTATCATTGTCGGTGTTTCGTTCCTCCTCGCTCCCCCCTTTGATGCCATTATAGGCCTGAGCCTCTTTGTTGTGGTCAGCCATGATGGTTGAGCTGATGATAGAAGCTGATGCTGCAGGCAGCTCGTATTTAAAGCTGCAAAGCTACGCCATTACATATCCTATTGACGTGAACGTGAGACGACAAGCCACTAACATTCTCATCTTGGTAGGTGGTTACACGAGCAGGCATCCAACCGTTGATGTAACGTCTCCTAGTCGATCAAAAGTCCTCCCGATCCTTACGTCCTTCCTATTTACATTCTCGATTTGATCCATTTATACGGCCAACGGCAATGTCGACATCGTACCCCTGTTTCACGGCATTGCCAAGACCCGAAGATCACACCCTGATGACTACCCCAAGGGGAAGGTCCAAAACCCGGGGCTGACATTGGTGGCTTCACTAGTGGTCAGGCCGCGATCTGCCAGGCCACAAAATAAGCTCATAGGCTTTTATGCTAAAATTGACAGATCGGAGCCTGGCGCAGTCAAGCCGGGAGTATGGTCCCATAGGCAAGTGAATCGCGTCTTGCAAGACATGTGCGCTTACGTGGGGGTGCAAGCTTATTCTGACCCATTCTGATGACAGGCGAGGAGAGTTGTAGCGCTCATCGAGGTCAATTTTCCCTATTCTTGCCTTCCCAATCCAATGTCAAGCACAAGACCATACACGGCCATATACCTCTCATGCTACATCTTATCCCCATATCCATTCTCGCGCAAATAAGCAATCAAGCGACCAAAACGAACAAACTTCAACCCAATCCTCTGAGTATCTTTAACGTGTTGCAAAAGCTTGCTGAGTTCCCGCGGTAATTAAAGATACCTACCAAAGCCACGATAGCCTTCTGAAATTTTAGTCGTGGCAATGACGAGCTTTGACTGGAGCTGCGAGCCCATTGCGGTCACCTAATCTTGGTAGGTGCCGCCGAATGTCATTGTGGCCGTTGAGGCGATTCGGACAGCCTCAGTTCCTGCCTTGAGTTGCAGTTTGCTTGACCTAAGCGTCACTCTGCCTGGGCAAAATCTCTTTGAAGTTTGGACTGGATTATGGCGCGGAAGTCTCGTCTTTGGGTGGCACTAGGCTTGTGGATTCGAAGGGGATTCTCTTTAGATCACGCCTTGTAATTCTGACAGGCTTGGGGGGCCTTTGCGGTCGTATCTCTCCTGGGGCAACCAAGCCGTGACCAGGCCTCGTCCGCACAATGGGTGCGTTAGGAAGGACTCCATCAAGGGAGGTTAAGCTTGGGAACTGTGGCTCGTCTGAGGTTGCCAGATCGCCATCAGAACCTTTGGGCATCGGGGCCCTGATGGGCGCAGGGCCAACCTGAGGTCTTGGGGCAACCTGGGGTTTTGGGCCTGTATATACTCTGGCTCCTGTGTCTGAGTCCTTGCTTGCCGATGCCTCCATCACAGCTGGGACCATCATTTGTGCGAAGATGGCTTCATCTTTAGATGTAATTCTTTCTGGATATGCGACGCGCCTGGTCTGTTGACTTGGGCGATTCATTCTCCGCATGCTCGGTCTCGGTCTGGCTGGGGGCCGCCGGGCTTGCGCAGGTAGCTTTTGCAAGGTTGCCGAATTAAGAGGTCTAATCGTTGCAGCCGAAGACTCAGGGACCCCTTCATCTTCGAGCAAGCTCGTGAGCTGTGACTCATTTGAGGTTGTCAGATCACAATCAGAACCTTTAGGCATCGGAACTTTGATAGGCATCGGGGCCCTGATAGGCGCAGGGGTGACCTGAGGTCTTCGGGCAGATTGTCTTGGGCCAACCCGTGGTCTTGGGCCCGTATACACTCTGGCTCCTGTGTCTGAGCCCTTGTTTTCCGATGCCTCTATCACAGCCGGGACTCTCCTTTGTGCCGAAGGGGCTCCGTTGTTGGATGGACGTCGGCTCCCTGGAAGGAGATGCTTACTCAAGCGGTATGGCACAGGCTTCCTGGCTTTAATTGATGTGGCGGACTGTTGGTTTGGGGGCTCCTGCCAGGCCGTCAAATCACCGCCAGGGCTCGTCTTTGCAGGCGGGTTGAAAGCTCTTTTAGTTTCAGAAACGTTTGGGGGCCGTGGCTCGTTTAAGGTGTCCAAGGTGCCATCAGATCTCTTCCGCTCCACCGAGGCTTCAGAGGTTTCTTCAATGTCGGAAAAGGCTCGAGTGCTGTCATCATCATTGCCAGCAATGATCGTATCTAGGGCCATCTCTGTATGTGTCGTCATGTCCTCTAGGAACCTCTGGATGGCATAGTCGTTTGGCGTCGCAACATCTTTGGGTAGCTGAGCCTCGAGACGGACAATCTGTTGCAAGATTTGTTCAGTATTTTCCTTGATAGTGGTAGTATCGTTGCGAATCTCGGTGGTATCAGCTTTGATGTCTTTTGTTAATGCCCTGGGGGTGTTAGCCTGGTTCAACTAAACTCTGAGTAACTTACAAACTATGCACAATCAGTGCCAGTTCCAAGGACGACTTGTGGGCCTCCAGGCCTTTTCGCAACTTCTCAACATCGCCTTGCCCGCCTGTGGCCCATGTCACCTTGGCTTTCAGCCGCTTCTGTCCGTACTGAGCAATGCAGTTCTCAATTTCGAGAATGACCGAATTGCAGTTTAAGACGATTATCAAAACATGTTGTCCTATGTCCTGCGACAAGGGATTTTCCTCTTTGGTGGCATCATCCTCAATGAGCCTGAGAACCAACTGGAGAGACTGCAGCTCCCGCGATACCTTGTCTAGGTCTTGGCGAGCTTCTCGGCATGTTCGGACGAATCCCTGGATCGACAGCGAAAGTGTGCCAATCGTCGATACCAGGCTAGCGCAACCTGCCGCGATCGATAGAGGGTCCATCTGGTGTGATTGATGAGGGAAAATTGTTTGACGCGAAAGAAAGAAATCAGGCTGTGGCTTCGAGGTTCAGCTCAGCTGAGGGGCACAGCTGAGACCTCATTGGTGAGGTGGCTGAGCATCGTCTTGGCGGGCGTTATCACAAATGCGCCTCACGGGGATTGAGGCTGTGATTCTGCCTTGGAGATAGCCATGCTTGGCTCTGCTTGAGTCTGGTTGAAGGTGGCTAAGAACCGTTTGAATAGAAATAATCAAATTAAAAAGGCATGGACACGTTGAAATCAGTTCGCTTTCAAAAAATGAGGCCTCAAGGTGGAACAAAGTGCTGAGGTATTGTAGAGTAACTTATCACATATAAAAAAAAGTGTATCAGGAGTGTTTTCGTATCCTTTCAGGCCATGCCGTTCTACCCACAACATTTTTCACCTTCTGACACCGTCCCAGTCTATCAACCCATTTTCCGTGCGACTATAATACAAAGTCTCAAGATGAATCTCAGAAGCAAAAGACCTGATCCGTCATCTTGGACGAAGCTCCCGGCTTCTCGAAACCCAGATTGACCAGCGACTTCTTGGCTGCGCTGATCATCCCTGGTGGGCCACACAGCATGACCTTTGAGTCTGGTCCAGGTGCAGGAAACTTTTCAGCCATGAGCTCCTGCGTTACGTAGCCGGTACCATACTTCCACTCAGCTGGGGCATTGTCGAGGAGGTAGTATAGTTTAAAGTTCTGAGGATATCGACGAGCGAATGATTCAAGCTCTCTCCGGAGAAGAATATCCTCCTCTGATCTGTTGGCGTATATCAAACTGACTTCCGTGAGGTCTTGGTCATCTTCGCAGATGGCACGGATGATCTGGAACATAGGAGTAATGCCAGTTCCACCAGCCAACATGCCAATCTTTTTGCAGAGACCATGCTGATATCGCATGGCGCCCTTGGGTCCTCGGAATAGCACTTCATCTCCAACTTCAACGTTGGCCAAGTATCCTCCTGTCAGTTGTCCCTCGGGATAGTACTTGATCACCAACTCCAAAGTGCCGAGATCCGAGTTGTTGGAAATGGGTGTGTAAGACCGGTTGACCGATTTGCCTCCAACATCCGCCTTTATTGAAAGATGTTGGCCGATTGGGAGACCAAGCAATGTTGTGGGCTTAGGCAGGGCAAAAACCAATCGGTAGACATTGGGGGCAATGAGCTCCTTCTCGGTGAGTGGAAGAGCATGGTATGTCGAAGGGTCAAGCCATCCTCGTTGAATAAGAGGATTAGGTTTGGAGACTTTGGGTATCTTCTTGTGAGGGGGATAACTCATGAAACCGCCTTCTTCGAAATGGAGAAACTTGGAAAGTCTCTTCACCGCGTAAGCGCCAGCGACGGTGAACAGAGCAGACGCCAGGATGAACCCTTCAAAGAATCCCAGGCCTCGGTTGGGTTTTGACGAAAGCTTGAAAGCAGGAAGTACATCCAAGGCCCCAGGATTAAACCGATAAACCTGGTGTAGAGCCAGCGCACTTGACACGGCAGCGGTGGCGGCGGTAGCCACGACTGCAGAAGATCGGCCTCCTGACTTGACCTTGGGAGTTGCTTTGGGCTGAAGAGTAACACGCTTGGGAGCATCTTTTCTCGGAGCTCCCTTGTACTTTCCAACGCAATACTCTTCCATAATCTCAAAGGCATCCTCAGAATGGCCAGCATTGTCAAAGTCTACCGTAGCATCTTTGCCAGCAGCCTCAATGAGAATGTCTGCACCGCCAGGATGATCATGAATGTATTTGGTGACATCGTAGACTAACCTGTTAGCATTGCTCATTGAATTAATTCGAATCGACTAACCTTGCCCTTGGATTGTCATCCAGCAGTCATCAGAAGTGTTGTGAGCTGCCACCTCCTTGGCAGTAAATTCCGGTCCTGAAGCCATGATTGTGGGTGATGTAGGGTTAACCAAGTACGACGCTTCTGCGGCTGGTCAAGATAAAGGCCGTTATAAAACCTGAAATTACGATGCTACCTCGTCGCAGTGACCAATCCAAACTTGCCCATTTTGGCAATGCCGAGGCTCGGGTCTTCTCAGCCGATCCCGCCGGAGTGGGTCCCGGAGGTTCCGTGCGGGTCTCCGAACAATGAATTTTCACTGCCGGTTTCATCATATATCCATTTTTTACCTCATAAAGACATGAATGCCGAGAACCTGCATGGTCAGCAGAGATAACAGCATGCGAGAAGACGCGTTTCGCATCCTGACTAGCTGGACGCCGTCCCGGAGATCCTCATGACCCGCAAATTATCCCCTTTTTCTAATCGCTCAACGTCCAATCCTGGACCTTGGAATGAGCATGAGCCATCATCTTAGCAAGGTTCCACCGCCATTGCGGCTTCAAATTTTCAGGCAAGGTTGGGGCGATGTTACGAGCCTCGGTTCATTGTAATCCACTTGTCGGTGACGATGTGACTTATATGATAAGTAAAGGGGTCTGCTGGTCTTACGTAGTGTAATTCTCATCAGACTCACAATGGCTACCAAACGATTTTACTTGTGCGGAGATTCCTCTACAGCCCAAGATATTGAGCTCCCTTCATCATTGGATGAGCAGTCTCTTCAGCATCTTGTGGCTTCTCACTTTGCTATTGTTGATCCAAATGGTGAGTGAACTGCCTGTTGTATGAATCATCTAACATTTGCAGGCATTGGGTTCATCAACCAGTCCGAGGCCTTGACAACAGTCGCAGATGTCCTCGCAGCTGAGGATGTAGCCATCACCATTGATGGCAAGGCCGTTCGGGAAGTCCCCGGTCCAAAGGGTCTTCCATTCGTTGGGAATTACTTTGAGGTGTATCCAGACCATCTCGGCAATCATCAGCGATTATTCGAAAAGTATGGCCCTCTTTTCAAGACCACCAACATGGGCAGCACCATCTACCACACCAATGACCCTGCCCTGGCCAACATTGTCTTTGGAGAGACCGACTTTTTCTCCAAGCGGATCATTGAAGGCCATCCTCTTTTCCCCATCAAGAACACGGAAGCCGGAGTTTTTCTTGGAGACACGGATACGCCAGAGTGGAAAGAGGTGCACAAATTTTTACCTCCAGCTTTGGGTCCCAAGGCTGTGAGACATTACGCGCCCACCATGCAAAAGACCGTCGAGGATGCGTTCAAAGTGTTTGATGAACTCGACGAGCGTGACGAGGCTTGGAACGTGTATCCATACATGCTCAAGCTTGGCTCACAAGCCGTTGGAAAGCTTGTGCTAGGTATGGACTTCAAGCACTTTACCGCTGTTGACGCGCGTCCACATGAAATGGTTTTGAGAATCGCTCAATCTCTTGAGCTGAACAAAAAGATCACCTCCATGGGAAGCTGGTACCGAAACATGCCATTCGGCGATCCCCAACGTCTTCGTGAAGCTCGAGCACGCATGGAGACAATGATGGAAGAATCGGTAGCGAATGCCTCAAAAGGTGTTGGAGATTTGGACCTTCAAGACGCTGCTCTTCAAGCAGAGAACATGGTCGACTATGTTCTTCGTGCAAGTGACAGCAAGGGCAACAAGCTACCACGGAATCGCATCATGGAGCCTCTTGTTGTTGCTACTGGTGCTGGCTTCACTACAACAAGCTCACTTTTGTCTTGGCTCCTCTACGGTCTTGTCGTCTATCCCGGTATGCAAGAGCGTCTCCTGCAAGAGCTTGTGGACAATGGTTTTGATGATGACACACAAATCACTGCTGATGTAACCAACAAACTCAGCTTCCTCGACAAGTACATCAAGGAGACGCAAAGACGACATAACCCATCTTATCAGCCGGCACGCACAGCAGCAGTCGACTTGATTTTACCCGGCGGTTACAGAATCCCCAAAGACGCCATCGTCATCCCTGCCCTACACCACATCCACAACAACACCAAGATCTGGGACAACCCAGCACTCTTCGACCCTGATCGCTGGGACACTGAACGCGTCAAGAACCGACCAAACGCTTCATACATCCCTTTCGCCACTGGCCCACGCATGTGTGTCGGTTTCAACTTTGCTCTGCAAGAAGTCAAGGTGTTTCTACCAAAGCTTGTGTATCGATACAAGTTTAGCCTGGCTCAGGATGGCCCGGTTGAATATGATCCCATGTTTCAGCTCATTCGGCCAAACAATTTGTATGTTCGGGCTGAGAGGAGAGTGAAGTGGCCAGCAAAGAGCGAGAGTTTGTGATAGACTGCACTTGGCGTTCAGAGATACGACTGGATCAGGATATACTCATGCAAGAGAGGGTTTTGTTATACAGAAGGAGTCTGGATGGACTGGTGATAGAAATGAAATATTTGCCGTTTAGACGATTGTAGAGTAGAGAAAGTACATTGCTGAGAAGAGTTGAATCCTAGTCCGTGACATCAATCACTGTCCCTGTTGCTGCAAGACCTTGAGAGCAGAATCCCCTTTCAACAACTCTTGAGGATCTCCAGCTTCAAAAATCCTGCCTTCACCCATCACCACCACAACATCAAACTCAGTGACGTGATCAAGGCGATGTGCGACCTCAACTACTGTCCGACCATCCATGACCTCTTTCAGAATCTTTCTGATGTCGTCATTTGTCGCGTTATCAACACTGCTTGTTGGCTCATCAAGAAGGAGGATCCTTGACCGTGAAAGCAAGGCACGCGCCAAACAGAACAGTTGACGCTGACCCACTGAAAATCCCAACTCACTCAGCTCAGCATCAAGTCCTCCACGAGCCTCGATGGCTTCCCACAGTGTAGTCTTTTGAAGGGCTTGGATGAGAATCTCATCAGCTTGGACAAGCTCCTCTGGATCCAGGTTATGTCTCACGGTGCCAGAAAGGCTGACAGGGTCTTGCGGGACTGTTGTGACGTGTGAACGAATATGCTGTCGGGGGACTGTCGCTAGGTCCTTTCCATCAATGCGTATAGATCCAGAAGACAGTTCGAGAAGGTGAAGGATGGAAAGGACAAGAGAAGATTTTCCACTAACTGATTAGCTTGGGCATACAGAGTTGACTGGCTTCTTACCTTCCAGATCGCCCACAAATGCAGACCTTTTGTCCAGGCTTGATGACAAGGGACACGCCGTTGAGCACAGGTTGGGAGTCGCCACTAACCATGTTAGAAAAGCTCTGAATAGAGACACATACTTACCTATAAGCAGCTGTAATGCTGTCGATTTCAATTCCACCTTCTGCGGGCCAATCTGTCGGGGCGTCCTTCTCTGCCGGCTTGTTTTCATCAGGAGTACTGCTGATAAACGACTTGAGTCTTGCAATTGCTCCCAAAGACGTTTCCAGTTGTGTCCATTGATCGATAACAGTCGTCAGGGTTTGGTTGAAGCCCAGGATATTCACCATGGCCAGACCAATAGCACCCTGAGTTGTGGCCCCTTGGATGCGGAGAGCAAGCGAGACAAGCACCACCGCCATGCCAGCGACAAACAAATCCAGAACAAGTTCAAGCCAGCGTTGAATGCAAAACATCATGTAAAATGGGCTTTGGGAATCGCTGAGAAGTTGATAACCCTCATTCAGGAATGCCTTTGACCATCCAAACGAACGAAGAGTAGACAACCCGGCAATCATCTCGGTGAAGTGGGTGTAGAGTGGTGTCTTTGCCTCGAGATCTAGGAGACGCATTTGACGGGAAGTGCGAAGGTAGTACTTTTGAATCAAGTAAAGAGCAAGGAAAGACAAGGGGAGAAATGCCGCAAAGTAAGTGGCACCAGATGCAACGACTCCGGTCTGGACAATCCCTCGCAGGGTCACTATTCATATTAGATAGGTATGTATAACCGCTTTGAGGTCTGCTTACAGTCCAGAGTCAAGTAGAACGCCAATGGCAGAGTCCCATCGATGAGTGTCATGTCCTGACTAAATCTGCAAAGGTTTAGCCAAGGCTGACTTCAGGGACAGAGGTAACGTACCGGTTCAAGATGCTTCCACTTTCCGTAGTGGTGAAGAAGTACAACGGGGCACTGAATGGTTAGACAAATTCAGTCAAGCATGAGAGTACTCACCGAGTGACCGACGTCAACAGCTGCTCATGCAGACGGTTTGACGACTTGGGAACGGCCATGATGAGAAAGTAGCTATAAGCGTTAACACACAATGTCACAAGCACAGACGACCACTTACCCAAGATTAAAAGTTCCTAGAAGCATGGAAGCCATGGTAAAACCAACATAGCCACCAGCGTATCGAGCGTCCTTTGATCCGTCGGCCCTTTCTGTCCATAGTCGTAGCCAGATTTCTAGTACGTCAGCATCGTAAAGGACATCCAAAGAGTTACTCACGAGGCATGACCTCCATCACAGTACTAACCACAGCCAAAGGAAATACGATGACGATGATCTTCCAACCCATCGAGCGAAGGTAAATCTTGTAGCAGGCCGTGTCGCCAGTTTGACGGGCCAGGTCAATCTCCTTCTTTGCCGAGGGTTTTTCACTGGGTCGAGGGGGCTTTCTGTCCGCATTGCTTTGCTCATCGTCGTCCAAAACTCCCTTGGCCAGAGTTTCGAGCTTATCGTATGGCTCCTGGTTACGAGTGACGGATCCATCCTCAAGCATGGTGATATAATCGGCAGAAGGTAGAAAGTGAACTATCCAGAATGTTAGAAATGTTGTTAACGACTATGCAGGCTTACCTTTGCTTGTTGTCAAAATCACAGTAGTCTTGTTCCTTCGCAAAAGACCGTTTCCTCCAAGCAAACGTTGAAAGACTTTCTCAGAGGTAGAGTTGTCGAGACTGCTAAAGACATCATCCAGGATAATGAGCCGCTTTTGTGAGTATACAGCTCGAGCGAGGGCCTTGGAGGGTTAGAAAGGCTCAAGAAGGGAGGGATGAACTTACCACTCGCTGTTTTTGACCCCCACTAAGAGCTACTCCCCCTGAGCCCACGATAGTCTCGTAACCTTCAGGCAGTTGATGCATGTCTTCATCCAAGGTACATGAGCGAAGTACCGTGTGAAACCACTTCTCGTCAAAGGATGACTGTCCTATGATGTTGTTCTTGATAGTGGTATTTCGCAGCCATGGAATCTGATCGCAGTAACCCACAGAGTTCTCTGCCCTGACGTGCCCTGTTGTTGGAACGAGCTCACCGATGATTGCCTTGAGTAACGAAGACTTGCCACATCCCACTCGACCGACAATCATGTTGAGAGTTCCTTCCAGCACGACCAAGTTGATAGCCTTGAGAAGGGTCACTTCATCGTCGGTTTGGAATGTCGCCTCTTGAATGGACACGACCTGGGGCCCCGGGGAGGCCATGATCTGATGCTCCTTCTGGGAGGAACTCGGCGTCTTCTCAGGGTTTGAATGGTGCTCTTCAACCAAGGACGATGATTTCAGACTTGAACGACCATCCTTTTGCTCTTCAAGCTGTAAGAATGCCTGTATCCGTCCACAGCCCCCAAAGACGCCAGCGATCTGCATCAGGGATACGAGAATTGCGACAAGGGGCTGCGTTACAAGGGAAATCAGTGACAGAGAGGTGAAAGCTTCTGCAACGCTGAGACCCTCGTCGGCCTTGGTCCAGTAAATAGCAGAGAGAATGACCACGATGGGCGTGATCTGGGCGGATATGGCAGCTATCAGTGTTAGAAGAGCTCACTCAGAAAGATAAAACTTACCAAGAGTAACAAAATGCACAAGAAGCCATCGAGCTCTGGCCGACACTTTGAGCTCGTGTACTCGAAGGCCTTGTACCAATGCATGGAAGAAGTCACTAAGTCCTATCATCTTGATACCTTTCATCTGGCTGAGCATGCTTGAAGTTTCTCCGACGCGCTTCTGGACAGCGGCATTCCACTTCACGGTGGCTGGGTCCATGGCTGGCGAGATAATTCCGCTCAAGATGGTGGTGACTCAATAGTTAGCTCCTGTCTTCACAGGCAATAATTCAAGTACTCACTGACTGTAGGTACCAACACCAATAAGCTGGGCGATCCTACTTGGCGATACAAGAGATAGATTCCAATCGGCAGCTCAACAAGATTCGCCCACATGTCATGGATCGAAGCTCCCGCAGCAACGATAACGTCGACATCAGTCGTCATGAGAGTGACAGGTGCAGAATCCTTGATAGACGCCGTCCTCAACTTCAAAGTCTTTTGGAAGATCAAAGACACAAGTCCACCCCTATACATGACGACCAGTTGGTTCGACATGTATCTATGCCAAGCACCAGAAATGGCAAGCCCAATGTAGACAAGGACTGTAGCACCGATCAATCCGCCTGCAATCTGTACAGACGTCTCCTCCATGCTGACAAAGATGATGATGGCCTGGATCAGAAAGGGTTGGGCAAAGTTGAAGCCACTGTGAAGGAGTCGAGGTGGGATGCCGGCAAGGAACTGCCACTTGTACGCCATGAAGGTGCATTTGAGTAGACAGAATGGGCTCGTTTTGGGGTCTTGAATCAGTTAGTAAAGGTATGAACCAGAATGAACAACCTACCTCTCTTCCATCGCTCCTCGATGCGTTCTGATAGATCATGTGTGTTGAACTTTTCATTGAGTGCGCCCAGGCTATCCAGGTCTATCAAACCACGGAACCCTTCTACAAACAAGTGATTGAGCCACCAAAAGAAACTCCTGTTCACCACGCCGACAGAAGTCTCCCTGACAGAACCCTTTTCACCGGTGCTCAAGCGTTTAGGGGTCTCTTCTAGGACAAGGAGGACTGTCTTGAGGACGAGGGACACGGTAAAAGTCGAAGCCAGAGCTTGCATCCCTGAACGTATCCAGAGTGTTCTTGTAAGGGCGAGGTCGAGGATGATTGTGAGGATCAGGTAGAGACTGATCAGGGCAGCCGGCTTGGCCGAGTTTTGATGTTCCATGTACGACAAAGCCGCAAGGGCGAGTGATTCGACAAGTCCGAGGACGGATTCCGCTATAGATGTTTTGATCGATCGAGAGTCGATGCTCCACAGCGCCACGAGAGCTATTTGAAGACAGGCATAGCTTGCGATGGTGGCCTATCACAGTGTTAGAGGCATACTCCATGACAAAGATTCACTTACCAGTTTGGACCACAAAAGAAGCCCATCCTTTGTGACTCTTTCATGTTTCCAGAGAACCGAAACTCGCAAAGGTACGAGAAGTATAAAGATGCAAGTAGGCAACAGAGATAGGATGCTCTGTTCAAAGAGGATAGTAAAGTCGAACAGGCCAGCGTGATGAGGTCCAAAGTTGGTATCTTCAGCCATATTTACAAGCTCCTACCGATCAACATAGAAGAAGACTCGAAAGAGTAATCGAAGAGCAAAAGACAACAGCAGCCAGCTTCATCTTGAATGTCCAGCCGGGTTTCCCTTGATGATTCCCGCCTGAGGCAATCCAGCGCTCCATAGCACCGAAAGAGGCTTAGATCGACTCAAAAAGCGGGGCGGATACGGAATACGTCTACGCGATACGGAGTACGGAATGTCACACTTGATCAGCCTCAAACGGGTCAACAGATGGCTCGGGTAAAGGCAATCTGAGGGAAATGGCTGTCGCCAAGGAGAGATGCCACCTGCAGTTCAAACCGGGCAACGTACCCAGATGCTTGATTGAGGTCTTTAGTATAAGCCCCTAACATCATAGGCGATCAGGGCTTTAAACAAACGCCAAGACAGGGATGTAAGGTGCTGATAGCATCATCACACAGCACAGCTCGATTGTGAGACCATGCACGGGCTTATACCGTAGAGCCTGCCCTTGAGACGTAGAGTCCCAAAGAAGGGCGATTGTTGGGGAGGTGGAAGATCAACTTAGAAGTACTAACAAGGATCTACTACTAGGAACATATTGCATGAGAATAACGATCCTTTTAACGCGTTTACTCTACACTATTTTATCTATTTCCAAGGTCTCGGACACAAAAAGCTTCATAGGTCACTGTTTTCTTGAAAACTGTCGCTTTACTTTCTCCCCTGACCACATTCGTAGCTGTACAACCCTGCCTCTTCCACCAACTTCACCAACACCTCCAGCATCAATGGATATGGTTCAAGAAATCACTGTCATCATTGTAATAATTCAAGAATTAGGATCCGTAGCGACTATCTCTAAGGGTCGTGCAATCACCATCACTTCACGCATCACCGCATCACCGCATCAATCCTTTCCGGGCTCTTGACGGGATGACTCCCCGTAATCGTGACCAACCTTCATATCGCCCGACCTTTGCGGTGACCTATAGCTGACACTGCTCCCTTGCGGTCGTGTTGCTGATGTGCTAGGCTGCCAATAGACATGCCTCTTTAGCAATGCGCCAAGGGCGCTGAACTAAGTGCCACAACGACGCAGTGATTGCGCTGTGAGCCGCGACAGGAGTTGCGGCGTCGTGTTGTCTTACAAGCGCTGTCGGTGTTGCCTAAATCTAAAATTAATAGGAAAGATAACAATGTAGCTTAAAAACAACTGAATGACTCGTTTCGGTTTCAAGGCCAACAGTGTTCGTATTCGGAAACGTTCTCCAGCCTGTACAAGTCGAAAGGAATTAGCCCTGGTCTACCCTTGTATCGGCACCAAGGAGAGCCGAGGGTCAGTTGCGGCGAGGTAACGGCTTTCGTAGATCCGGATCAGACCATATATTGTTCCTAGGGCACAATGTGTAAATAAATATGATATTTGTCGACGTAGAAGATGAAGTTCAAGCTGCAAAGCAATCAGTCCCAGGACATGAGACACTTGTTTCCGACAAATCAAAGTTGAGCCCTCCTAATCATCTCTTTGAGCAGTTCTATGCAAGTCCTCTGAAGCCCAGCATGTTGTGAGTCTCCCATCTCGTTCACCAGAAGAACACATGTTCACCAGCCTCAATAGAAGCAACGCCACCGATTTCTCGGTTTTCAATGGACTGCTACCGGCAGACAATACACTGGGGGCATCCACAGGCACTGGATATTTTGATGTGTTGAAGCAAGTCAGCCGAAACCACAATGACCTTGTGTACCTAGAACGTCTTTGGGCGGTAAGCAACCTCAAATCCCATGTTTCTTTCATCTGTGGTGCTAACCCTGCTAGGCATGGTATCTCTTTATACAGAACGATACGTACGCAACCGGTATCTTAACCTTTGTCCTTCACGAAGTGTTTTATTTCGGCCGATGCATTCCATTCATGATACTCGACATGATCCCATACTTTCACAAATACAAGATCCAAGCCCAAAAGATGCCAACCCTCAAGGAACAGTGGAACTGCGCCATGCTGGTTCTTGTGAGCCATTTCACCGCTGAACTGCCACAAATCTGGTTCTTTCACCCAGTCGCGACCTATTTCGGCATTGAGTTTAGAACACCGTTCCCACCACTCTGGAAGATTGCCCTTCAAATTTGCATCTTCTTCGTTATGGAAGATACTTGGCACTACTGGGGTCACCGCGCGCTGCATTACGAGCCGTTGTATAAGAACATCCATAAACAACATCACACCTATTCTACCCCCTTTGGCCTAGCAGCGGAATATGCGTCTCCTATCGAGACTGCGATTCTTGGGTTTGGCGTGGTTGGATCCCCGGTGGTGTTGCTTATAATAACGGGAGACTTGCACCTCTTTACGATGCTCATCTGGATGATGCTACGGCTTTTTCAAGCCATCGATGCCCACAGCGGCTATGACTTTCCTTGGAGCTTGAGGCACTTTATTCCGTTTTGGGCTGGCGCTGATCATCACGACTTACATCACGAGAAGTTTATCGGGAATTATGCTTCTAGCTTTCGTTGGTGGGATTATTGTCTCGATACAGAAGCAGGGTTGGAAGCATCGAAGCGGCGGAGGGAAAAGAAGCTTACCCAATTTCGAAGGAAGAAGCAACAATAATTCGACCGTGGTGTCTCTCTAAGAACCACGCGTCAGTTAATGCTTTGGGAGCACTTTCGAGCAAAATTGGCAGGAAGCAAGGCTTTGAGACTGAAGGGGATCAGTCTTTTCAAGATGGCAGATAGAAAATGGATCAGTTGCTGTGCAGAAGAGCCAAAGCACGGCTGGCTGTCTACTCAGGGCAGGCGAGTTGTCATTCTCTCGGAATCACAGCATCCGGATGGCGTGGCCAGCTGATAAATCGGGTAGCGAACCGACCCCAGGATCTTGATCCTAGAACCCCACAAAGCAGATCTGGTTCGACACGGAAGCCACTATTCCGAGGAATCGAATACGAGACTCGCATTGTGTCGATGGTTTTCGATATCAGTGTCATCCCCGATTGCCTCCCCAAAAGGCATCCGTCTACGTGATACGCAACGTCACCCTGGATCAGCCTTCAGCGGATGGAAAGATGGCTTGGCTAAAGGCAGGGAGATGTTGCAAGCGGTTAAACAAGGTGTAACCAGGCTGGATGGGAGGTCTTTGATGCAAGCCCCTGGCATTATAGGTGAGAACAGGATTCACAATTGTCAAGACGAGGATGGAAGATGCAAGAAGACTCACCACGCAAAGCGCATGAAGGTAGCAAACTCGTATCCTGGGATGGCTTTGGCTCTTTTCTTGGCATTTATTGACCTACGAGATGCTTCTACATCTGGAAGGCTCTCGGGACCAATTTTTGTCGTTTCCTGGGAAGGCCCTGATGATCCCCTAGAGACATTGGCCTGGCATTTCGAAGCGATTGATTCAATATCTTCTTGCACCTTGCACAAGATCTTTGTGCACAGTTCATATGCCGCATCTGACCCTTCAGTCATGGCGAAATTGCGTAGAAGAGATGTTATTATGACCTTCAGCGTTCCCTTTTCTGGCACTGATGCAAAAGTTAGCTGAATGGCAACGAAGATTGTGTAACAAAAGCACTTTTCTTGGGGATTGTAGTTTTCGACCTGAAGAACGGCCCATTCGTTTGGCCACTGGCCTTGTAGAAGACATCAAGGCTTGCGAGACTGGCTAGGCTTGTGAACTTGGCTAGACTTGCAGACTCAGCTATCCTTGCAGCACGAATGGGTGGCTAGCCACCACAGAAGATTTCTTGAGAATAAATTTTCTAATTAATATAGGAATGGGGACAATAACTATCAAATTGCTTTGCCAATATATGTATGGTAACGCTTGAAATGATTCAAGGTCGCGAAATCCTCGCGAACCGTGGTCAGGTGACCTGGCCGACTCAAAATCCAAGCATAAACCAATACGATAGTACCAATCAGACAAAGTGAACAAGCCGTGTTCAATCTTATTCAAGCAGAAGATTTTTACTGGTTTGGAAGTTTAACATAGCCAGGACGCGATGCGCAGGAGATTATTGCATGGGCAACATTAGAAGACCCCTCAGAGAGCATATCAAGACGGTTGCATTTGCATCCACCACCCGCCGCGAATTGAGGGACGGGACATGATGGAATTGCTTGGTTCAAATAGGTATTACTGTAACCCATATCATCTCAATGTGAATACCCTCGATAGCAATCGGTCACGGACTGCTCTGAACAAGACATTGCCACTTCTCCCATCCCGTTGAGTGGCGGCCCTCTCCTCTTCCTACCCTGCAACTCAAATTGATCGGCTCTGATCTGCAGAAGAGAAGCTTACGGTGAACATCCGTACTCCGTACAGAGTGGTTGCTTACTACAGTCTCACTCACAATCCCCGGCCCGCGCAGCTGGTCCAAAAGGTAGCGCAAGGCTCATAGGGCTGAACCGCCAACATCAAGCTTTCAACCTTCTCACATCAGACGAATGCTGCATATACTTCATGCCTGACACCTACGGATACGGACTTGAACAGATACGGAGTAACGACTCCAAATACCGACCAGGGCTCCCTGTCTGGGGTAAGCACTAACCCCCAAACAGGCCACGGCCGTTCATTAAAGGGTCCTCGGACTTGGACGGGTTGGCGAGCGACCCAACCAGAAACCCCCTACAGCGCCACAGGCCCCAAGCTCCCGGCCCCCAAATAGCATCATGTGCAGGCTGATCTTCCTTCTGTGGCTCGGACTCTGGCTGGCTGAAACCAAGGCGCCCGGTACTGGGCAATTCACTGTGAAATTGTCATAAACAAGCAGGGCAAGTTGTGCCAAGGTCGTGTCAAGCTTTTTTCAGTCTAGGCAGTTATCGTCTGCTCCATCTTTGCGTTTTCAATTGTGCAGTGGTGGCTGTGTTGAACCAAACACCAAGCTATCACCATCTCGACGCCAGAGACCAATCCTTTAATTCTTCATCCCCATCCATTGACACACCATGACGACTCCCGTATCGCCAGAGCCCATCACCTCAAGTCCTGCGCCGGCCCCAGGCACCGTGTCTCCCCCTTCGTACACGCCCAAGCCATCTGAGGTCGCTTCCAATACCGACGAAAAGATCGCGATACCGTACGTTGCCCGCGCCAGTCTCCCTTCATACCTAACGAAAACAGGGCGCAAAAAATTGACGACGATAACCTCCCCGAAGTCGTCGTCGTCGAGCCCGACCATTCTCAAGATCCTCAGCCCGTCCACACGCACACACCCGATCCGCTAAAGAACGAATACCCAGTCCCTCCCTCGACAGTCTCTCCCGCGCCCGAAAGCATCATGAACCTCCACGGCGATGGAACGCAGTCGCCGCCGATTCTGCAACACCCTGCGCTCGCTGGACAGATGGCGCCCGGTCAGATGGCTCCTGGACAGATGGGATACGCGGGCCACGAGTCTATGGTGGTGCCAATGTCTGCGCCCACGCCAGGCCCTGTTTATCCTCCAGGCGCGCAAACCGTCACGCCTTTGAACCTCTTGACCGATCAATCTGATAGCGTCGATTGTCCATTCTGCCAGCGACGAACCGAGACCAAGGTGAAGAAGGAGGCATCAGGCATGACACAGTAAGTACCCTTGGCCTCAATAACTACATCACCTAACCATGGCAGTGGTATCGCGGCCGGTCTCTTCTTCACGACCCTCTTCGGCGTCATCTTCCCATACACATGCCACTGCGCTCCCCACATTAGCCACTACTGCAAAAACTGCGGTCGCAAGGTGGCGTACAAGCAACGAGGTGGACAGATGGAGCCCCAGGGCACACCCGAGCATCTGCGCGAGGTGTCCAAATACCCAGCGGCCGAGCCCAAGCCGAAGAAGTAGACATATGTAGATGGAGTACGGGCGTTTAAAGCGAGTTTTGATATAATACATTTACTAGTAAATACATCTACTGGGTTGTCTTGGATATTACACCTGGATATTACAGAATACTCTCGGTTGCGATATGGGCATGACACGAGGCTATGAAGGGGAAACAGGGACATCATATATGATGCCATCAGATATGCTGGGACATTACACGATGCCATCAAATGGAGCTGGTATATTTCTACATTCTATTAATCCACGGTCTCGACATTTAGGCTGGTATTACCTCCGGACCACGTTCTCCCCGTTCACGGCCCGTCCAGTCGGCTCCGACTCTGCTCCGGCTTCGCCTGAAGCCAGCAGGGGCTCTCTCTCGGCAGTCCTCTTCTTCTTGCTATCAGTCTTCATTCCGTAGGATGCAACAGCGTAGACACCGATGAGGCCCATCAGAGTGCTGAACGCAAAGGCGATGATGCCCTTCAGGGTGAATCTGGTAATGTTAGTCAAGTTCAACATGAGGTAGACAATCGCAACATACCCATCAGGCAATCGTGGAGGAGGAACGTTCTCTCCAGTAAGATCCAAGAAATCCTTGGTGTTTCCAGCGGCGTTACCGGCAGCAGGAACATCTCCAGCCTTGCACGCATCCAAGTGACCCTGAGGCAGCGTCAAAGTCTTTTGAAGCTCAAGAGGCTGCTCAACAAAGGTTGCAATGAGACCCGAAGCGACATGCCACTCAATATGACAGTGGAAAAGCCAGACACCTAACAAATTAGCTACTTGCATAAACCAGGGTGTGATGGGGACTTACCTGGGTTGTCGGCCTTGAAGCGAAGCACCACATTTCCGTTGCCATTCACAACCACCGTATCTCGCCTCATTGGGGTCTTGGCGAAATCCTTCTCGGATCCTTCAAAATCTCCAGCATCGTCGTCGCTTCGGTACAGGACCTGGAAGTGGTGACCGTGAAGATGGAAAGGATGCCGACCGTCATCCTTGTTGTTAAGAACCACCTGCACAATCTCATCCTTCTTCAACACAAAGCTGTGAGTGTACGTTCCGTAGACCTGAGGGTTTGTCGCCTTGTCGCCGCTCGTCAAGACTGTGTAAAGAGTCGGCACCTTGGGAGCGCGGTAGGTGATGTTGTTGAAGAATGCATAATTGGCGCCATCACGGAGATTGTCCATGATGACCTCAAGCTCAACCTTCTTGCCAGGCTCGGGCAACAGAGGCATCTCATCGTAAGGTACGAGCTCCACGTCGTCATAAGGGTCAAACTCATAGATGGTCGCAGGCTTTGGCAGAGGCTGCGCTTCATCATAGACAAGCCAACCCGTGACGTTCCAGTTGAGGTCGTCAGGCAGGACATCAAACAGATCCTACACGGTCAGCCAAGTCAAACAAAACGAGGCCAAACTTACAGTATCCATGCTCGCAACAATGGGAAAATTGGCCTTTGAGTCAGCCTTGGTCGTGACGAGCACACTGCATCGCTGTCCAGCAGAGAGGTAGACCATGTTGGCTTCAGTTGGCTTGGTATACGCACCATCAACTTCGACGATGGACATCTTGTGACCCTCAATCCAGAAATACTGTCCAGCAAAAGCTCCAAGATTGATCAATCGCAAGAAATACGTCTTGCCGGGCTGCACTGGAACCTGGAGGTTCTGTGTCTCATTCATGAGAGCAGCCTGAGGGACAGGCTCAGCACCAGTCGGGTTTCCCTTTCGCAGAAACTCGGGAAGCAGGGTCTGCATCTCATCGTGGTACCAGTCGGAAAGCGACATGACAATCTCCTCATCATACTTTCCCTTGAAAGGCGATTCTGGGTCGTGAATGATGAGGTTTCCTCGAAGACCATCGGGATACTGACTCTCGGTATGAGAGTGATACCAGTAGGTTCCAGCTTGGGTAATCTGCCATTATTAGACACGCTCAAACACACGAGACACAACATACCGTAAAGTTGTACATAAAAGACGACCCTGGAGGAATAGGACACTGCGTAACCTGCGAAGGCCCATCCATGTGATTCGACCCATTCATAAACAGCCCATGAAAATGCAGCGACGTCGTCTGGTTACCCAGGTTATTGTGGGCATTGACCAAGATGGTATCCCCAACATTGGCCACGATCTGAGGGATCGGCCACTGCCCGTTGATGCCGATGGTCGGACGCTCAAACGCGCCGTCGGGGTTAGCCCTAACCCATTCGATGGAAAAGTCGTAGGATACCGTGGCTGCCAGAGATGACCATGGCATCGCCAGAGCGAAAGCCCAGCCGAATCTACGCATCTTGGGGTCTGTTTGCAGAAGGTGTTGAGGAGCAAGTCTCTGAGAGAAGCCGGCTAAAGAAACTTGGACAACCTAAGCTCCGTGGAGACAGCCTCACACCACCAGGGTCTTGGGCCGTGCACACACGCACACTGCAGGGATCTTATCAATCTGATAATCCGGTCTCGGGACTCGGGATCTTCCTGCAGAGTTCTCCTGGAGAAATGAGCGGTCGATGCCCTGCTTTAAGTCTACTCAGCCTCTTCCTTCGACCCTCGCTGAGGGGTTATCTTCCCCCCGAGACAAAGTTTTACCTCATGACACGGCCCATCCATGTCCCCCAAGACAACCCGTGATTCGTCTCGGACAACTCAAGTGGGCATCCTGTGACCCTTAGTTCCAAAGCCGGACTCTCGCCCCGAGGCAATTTCTAACGCGTGGGATTGCAAAAAAAGGCTTGGCGTGGGGCCGCAATTCGGACCTTGATTATCTGATGGTCCGAGGATCAACTTTCAACTCTCACGAATCTCAGCAGTCACGCAGCTTGTACCAGTAGAGCTGAAGCAGTAGAGTCAGTCAAGATGCTGGACCTCTTTTCTGTCCCCGTCTACGTCGTCGTCTTCCGAGAGACCCTCGAGACGGCCATCATCGTCTCTGTCCTTCTCGCATTCCTCAAACAAACCCTCGATGGTTCCCAGCGCGATGCAAACCTCTACAAGGCCCTGCGCGCACAGGTAAGCCCCTCATCCTGACTTTTGATCTCTGCTAATTGACAGGTTTGGCTTGGAACCGCCACCGGCTTCGCCCTCTGCCTCATCGGCTCAGGCATAATCATCGGCATCTTTTACATCCTCGGCACCGACGCCTGGGCGGATCACGAGTACTACTACGAGGGAGTATTTTCGCTCGTTTCTGCCGTCATCATCACCATCATGGGCGGTGCGCTGCTTCGCGTGGGCAAGATGGAGGAGAAGTGGCGAGTAAAGCTGGCCAAGGCGATTGAGGCGCCCGTGACGGCTCATGGCAAGAGGGCTTGGTTGGTCAACTTTTTTGAGAAGTACGCCATGTTTGTCTTGCCTTTTATCACTGTTCTTCGTGAGGGTATTGAGGGTATCGTCTTTGTTGCTGGTGTTTCGTTCTCTGCGCCAGCTTCTGCTGTGCCTCTTCCGGTCATCATGGGATTGCTCTCTGGAGGACTTGTGGGATACGTTCTCTACAGGTGAGTACCTCATCCGCTGTCTTATGCACATCTAACATTCCTAGGGGTGGTTCATCTGCAAAGCTTCAAGTCTTCCTTGTCGCTTCCACCTGTCTTCTCTACCTCGTCGCTGCAGGCCTCTTCTCCCGTGCCATCTGGCTCTTTGAGCAGCAGCAGTGGAACAAGGTTGTCGGCGGTGACGCGGCTGAACTTGGAGATGGACCTGGATCATACGACATTGACCGAAGCATTTGGCACGTCAACGTAAGTCTTGAGTCTCGTTTGATGGTCTGTACTGACATTTGTAGTGCTGCAACCCTCAACTCAACGGTGGAGGCGGCTGGGCCATCTTCAACGCTGTCCTGGGCTGGAACAACTCGGCCACATACGGTTCCGTTCTTGCGTATAACTTGTACTGGATCTTCGTTATTGGCCAATTTTCGGCCATGACCTACAAGGAGGACCATGGACACTGGCCTCTGCTGAAGGGCAAGGGCAAGGGCAAGGGCGAGGACGAGGACGAGGAGGGTCTCGTCACTCCCGAGCGAGCCGAGGACTAAAGGTTGTGAACTGATCGCCAGGCCTGATTCAACGCGTCAAAGCAAAGCGCCGTGCCAGTCACCTATTCAAGGATGCTAGCCATCAGTAGAGTCCGTCGTGCCAATCACATCAAAGATGCCAGTCATCTGAGTATCAATCCATCAATCAGTAGTCTAATAAAAAGTACACCTATTCCCAAGCATCCGTGTTGCTCGTCTTTCGTACACGGCGGTGACTCAATGCTATTATGGTTTTGCTCTGCCTTGAGATGACGCTGAATCAAGCACCCAACCTGGTCATCGATGGCGTCTATCTCGAGATGACCACTCACAATATCCGACCAAGACTCTTTGTCACATCAACTGCATCCGCCATCAACCCGTTTACCATCACCGTATCCATCACCATATACCATCACTGCATACCATCGACCTCATACCATATCCATCCACCATCAACCGTATATCATCCAATCAGTCCGAGTCAGCCCTCGCCCTCTTGCGTGGTCGTCCAGGACCACGAGCATTCTTGCGCTTCTGAGGACCCGTTCCGTTCGCCAACTCCTTGGCCTCAAACTTTTCCAGCTCAGCCGGGGCAATCTCTCTCAGCTTGTCCTCGTGCTCCCACGTCGAGTCGGTGCGGCGGTATCCAACCCACTGGACCTGGTACATGTACTGAGGCTTCTTGGACTTTCCGGGAAGGCTGGTGCGCTTGAGGATCTTGAAGACGTGGTAGATATCCAGGTTGGTCACAGCATCACGTCCTTCGAGCTTGTCCCAGTACTTGAAGACGAGCGTGGGAACTTGCTCCTGTAGACTCCATTCCGTCTCCCAGGTGGTCTCACCACCCTCCCACTTTACTTGGATATCCACGGTCGATGTCGCCTCATCAACGCGATGGTCGATAAACTCGTCAATCTCGACGTCATCTCTAAACTCGGCCGGCTTATCGGCGGATGCGGCGGGGGCATCACCATTCACCTGAGCGTCCTTGTCTCCGTTGCGCTTATCAATGCTCTTCGGCTCGGTCGGTTCAGCGGCGGCGGGAGTGGAGCGATCGGGCTTTTCGTCGTTTGCGGGGGTAGCGATCTTGGGAGTTGCTCTGGGAGTTCCTCTGGGGGTGCCTCTGGGGGTTCCCCGAGGAGTTCCGATTCTAGCAGCGGGCGACGCCTTGTGGCCATCGACGGCCTTGTCGCGAGCGTTGACGACATCGCCGTCCTTGGAGGGTGTATCGGTGGCCATTGTGCGATTCTTGGCCCTCAGTGGTGAAGCAGGAACGTCGTAAGGATCTATCAAGAGTCAGCCGATGGTCGCGCGATGCCGACTTTGCGCCTGAGCAGTACCTGCGTGCGGCGGAAGCATCACGGGAGAACGCAGGGCGGAATTGCCTTGTTGCGAATGCCCCGATCGCGTTGGAGGATGCTGATGGAAAAGATCTGGGAGCGCTATTGCGTCACTGATGTTGGTGACGGTCGCAAGTTGGTCGCGGCGCGTTGCTATGCGACGCGTTTGGCTTAATGGAGGTTGAGGCTGACGACAAGCCACAGGAGCTTCAGCCACAACCAGGAGTACGAGGTGGCAAGCTGTTTGCAGGGGAATAAGCGGCTTTGTTTGAAGAAGTATTGTGTTGTTTGGTAGTTGCTTGATCACTGATTTCACCGAGGTGATTAGTGAGACAACTTTTGTGAATTGGTGAGGGGTTGGGCGCACAGCCGTAGCTTCATGACCGTTACACAACGCAAGCTGTCATGATCACATAGAGTTTCGTTTATTTACTTTTTCCCTTTGTTATTTGTCATGTGCTTTTATCTATCCCTTTGTTTTGATCTCGAATACAATGGATTGCTTACTCATTTATCCACTGAAGCTCCCGATCATGCTAACAGAGCTCTTCAGGAGTACTGATCGTCCCGATGCACTGTCCACCTTGTCTCAACGCCAGCTGCCCGATTGCACGTTCACCATGTCAATGGCAAATCTTCTAGTCTTTCCGCGTAGTTTTGGAATAAAATCCTTTCTTTCTTTGTGCCGAGTTCATCTTTTTAAACTAACGCTGCTTGGCGAACTTGAACAGAGTCCCGATTAAATTCACCCGCCACTAAGCCAAAGACAACTGCGTCGTGGCATTCATAGTCTAAGAACTTGGAAATTTCCCGCGTGGCTCATTCTTTCGGATTACTGCAATGTAATAGATTCCCTGCAATTCATCCAGGCTAAAGTTAGCATTTCAATTGATGAGTGTACAAAGAAAGCATCACGGCCTCAACTATGGAGACAGGAGACTCAGCTCGCAAGCACAAATTGACCCTCACAATATTAGGCCCAGGCACTTAGATAGCACAAATAAACCGCTTTCAAAACAGTTCATGCTTGTCTCTAAAATCTTAGGGTAGTTTACGCTGGAAATTTGCCTCCAGTTCTTGGTACTCCTCAGACGCGACACTGCGCATTGGGAAATCCCACCGCAAGACGACGACATTTATGCAGCCATAATATTTAATACTATTTTTAATCTCAGTTATAGGTATTGGATTACTTCGTGAAACATTTATCTCAAGTCAGTGTCTCCTGTAAACGGAAAGGGGTTCATACGTTGTTTGTGGTTTCGGTGTTGAGCTGGACTTTTCCAGCTTGGGGGCGTTTGTCCAAATGCTAGGCGCCGGGGATTCACCATAACGAAGCTATGCTAGGTATTTCTCAATAAAAAGAAGTACAAATAAACGTGAACCGTAATACAGAATGATTTCGAGGCATAACGTCTACTCCTCCCAGCACAAAAACCACCCTCTTCCAAAATGTGTAGGGTAGGGTAGGTAGGCTACCTGAAGCTTCCACCACACCACCCGCTCACCTGGACTCACCGAACTTACGACTACTAAACCACGTGGAGAAAAAAAGAAAACTCTGCCGCGCCGGCATTATGACGCCTTAGACGCCGTCGAGCCTAGTAGCCGGCAGCCGCTCTAGCTCAAGCCACGGGAGCCACACTTGAGCTAACGCCACAACCGCCATGCTGTGCAGGAAAGAACAACTCTGGGTCCCTGGACCTGGAGCCGTTGCGGAGAAACGGGGAGTACGGAGTTTACGCCTGTTACGTTTATCTAATTCATAAGCCGAGTGCTGTGTTATGCTGTGTATCCCCTCGTTGCAGAGTTGCAAATTGCTTACCTTGGCCTGAATCACTCCATCCGGTGGCTGAATTGCAAACATGCAGCTTAAACGTTACAGCAATGATCACCCTTTCATGATCTGAGCAATCACCTTGGCAAATATTGTCAAGTTTTTTCACGCCGTCGGGTTCTACGCCCTCGCCTAGACCACACATGAGATGAGCCTCGTTTGAAAAATCTCAACACCACGTCCAACTTCACATGTCTCCCCAACCGCCGAGGAAAGCCGTTTCCAAGCGGACACAAGGGCATTGGGATCGAGTGACCATTTACCAGGTTCTTTCAACGTGGCTGTATCGGGACGCGGGATCGTCAAGGGCCTGGGCCTTGGCCCCGGGCACGTCATCGGCAAGCACCCAACAATGAACTAGCCTCGAGGGAGCTGGGACCAATGGCTTCACCAACACCGGTAGGCCAAGAGAATTCAAGCTGTCTTGTCTGAACTTTTGTAAAATCCGCTGATGTGATGAGCCTAAGAGTGAAGAGGCAGGTGAGTTGTCTACGGACAAAAGGACAAGACGCTGCATGGTTGACGTGTCTTGTGGTGAATATGGTGAATTGTCTGCACTCGTATTCATGTCAGATTCACTCGGCGCTTTTGCATACTGCCTAACATGTACAAGCAAGGATATTCGGGGAGTACGGCTCTGCCCTGACAGGGACAACTGCCGCACCTGGGTGCAACGTGTGTCCCGAATGTTTGATCGAGACGCTCGAGCCGCGTATACTTTGTACTGCCGGACAGTCCGTTGCGCGGCGAGAAGTGGGCATACTGTAGACTGACGGGAACATCATGCAACGGCGTCTCCAGATTCCGGCGTAGATCGGGTGCATGGGAGAAAAACAGAGTTGCATATAGACTGCATAGCGTCCGATCACACCATGGGGCGTCTAGTTGGTGATCCGTTCTTGGCGCTGCCAATGGGTTGTTCAGGTGGACGTGGGATGCAAATGTCATAATCTCGGTCATGGTCAAGTAGAAACGTCGTATTACTACACCAATTCAACCGGATGCGTTCCAGAGCCACGGGTTTGAGGCGATACCCATACCCAGAAACCGGCTGTTTGGACGTGGAGATGAACCGCTGAGGGTCAGAACGGAGCATCAGACGGGGGAAGAAGCCGGGAGTCCACAAGACTCGATCGAATGCGGAAGGTGATTAAAAGAAGAAATGGACCATGAACAATGAGCCTCAATCTTGGCCTGAGAAAGTCCTCGTCTTTCCCGGAGCCCGCGAGGTCGGGTTCCCTCCAAAGCCGGCCGACGCCCGGGGAGTCCTTGAAAAATAGAAGTCAGATGAAGTCCAGGGTGGATAAACTCTGCATTTTGACTGATTCTATTGGTCGAGCCAAGGAAAGCCTGCGATCACATCAGATCGCGTCATCGTCCTAGTCAGTCCCAAACAGAACAAGTCGTTCCAGCACGTCCAGTATGGAGAAAACCATGACACATTGGCTGCCCACGCATACATGTAAGAGAAAGCAGGGGTGATTACTTTCAAACACCGTGGATCGCCAAGATCAAGGTTCCCATTCGGCGCTGATGCATCCCCTTTCGTGAACCGCCCCAACGATGGCACCATGCTACTCGGCGCCAGGCCCGAGCCGAACACCTTCTAACTTCTTTCTAGACTTTCTCCAGCATGCCGTTCGGTGAGACTCCCCCACCGCTGGAGCTACCGGGGGGTGGGCGGTTGTGGGTATTTCGCGATGGACCTTGGGTTTTGCCTCCCACACTCTGGTGTACATCAGGCCGGGTCTAGTTTTTTCATTGTTATTAAAGTTCATCATGTCCCGCCTGTTGGGAAACGTTTCTTCACTCGCTGTGTCGCATCTGGGTTCTTTATTTCCTATATTAGCCTTCTAGGCCTTGCTTGTCGCTCCCTGCACTCAATCACCAATCGACCTTGATCACCATCACCATGAGCCACGAGGATCTCAAGAAGGGTCCAGTGGACCAAAACTACAATGGGGGAGATACCGATAGTGAAGCTGGTGCGTAGTGCACTCACTGTATTGTATCACGACTAACATGTCCAGGCCGTCTTAAGCATGCCCGCGATAACAAGCGCCAGATCGGCGTTCTGAGCGCCTCCATGCTCATCTTTAACCGCTGCATCGGTACCGGTATCTTTGCGACTCCGTCTTCCATTCTCTCCCTGTCTGGCAGTGTCGGTCTGGCTCTCTTCATGTGGGTCATCGGCGCCGTCATCGCCGGAGCCGGTACGGCCGTCTACCTCGAATGGGGTACCGGTATCCCCAAGAACGGAGGTGAAAAGAACTACCTCGAGTACATCTACCGCAAGCCCAAGTTCCTGGTCACCGCCATGTACGCCTTTTACATCATCCTCATGGGTTGGGCCTCTGGAAACTCGGTCGTCTTTGGAGAGTACATCCTCCACGCCGCCAACAAGGAGGTAGACCGTTGGAACCAGCGTGGTGTCGGTCTGGCCTGTATTACTGCTGCCTTTATCATCCACGGCACTGCTCTCAAGTGGGGTCTTCGTCTTCAGAACGTCCTCGGCATAATCAAGATCATCATTGTCTTGATCATCATCATTGCCGGCTTTGTCGCCCTTGGTGGACACGTCAAGCTCGATGAGAAGCCCAACAACTTTCACAATGCCTTTGACGGTCCCAAGGCCAGCGCCTACGGTGTTGTCACCGCCTTGTACAACGTCATTTGGAGTTTCGTCGGTTACAGCAACGCCAACTACGCCTTGAGCGAGACCCGAAACCCTGAGCGCACCCTCAAGATTGCTGCTCCCGTCGCCATCATCTCCATCTCGATCCTGTACATCCTCGCCAACATTGCCTACTTTGCCGCCGTCCCCAAGGCCGAGATTATCGCTTCTGAGCGTCTTGTCGCTGCCTCTCTGTTCCGCAACGTCATGGGTAGTGCTGCTGAGCGTGCTCTGTCCGTCTTTGTCGCCCTGTCTGCCTTTGGCAACGTTCTCAGTGTCATCTTCTCTCAGGGTCGTCTCGTGCAGGAGCTTGGTCGTGAGGGTATCCTGCCCTTCTCCCGCTTCTGGGCTAGCAACCGTCCCTTCAACGCTCCTCTGGCTGGTCTCT